GAATCAATATAGACTAGCTATTTTTCAGTGACCTTTATAATCTAGGTTTTGGGTTGTTAAATGAAATCCTCAATGGTTTACCCTTCTCCGATGCTTCACTCAGCAGCGTAACAACAGCATAACTGTACTGAAAGTAAGGAGCCTGATCATTCATAACAGAGACCAGTAAAAAGTTTGCCACAGAAAATAACTGAGGCCTTGTGTGATTTTAAAAGCTGTCTGTGGAGATTACCTTTCACGACAAGACCCACATATTTGTTAAAAATGTTGCCTCACAAGCTTCAAATGAACAGAGTTTTTTTTACAGCATCTGAAGTAATTAGCAGTCAGCTGTTTGTGCGTGAGATCGCCATGTGAGCTCTGTGATTTCTTTAGAGTCTGCCACCTCTTTGCTTTTTATGGAGATTGTGTGCAAGCATTAAGTAAAAGGGAACAACAGGAGGTAGGTATGCTACATATGTTTTCTTCTTATGTTTTCATATTATTTATTCTGCAGACTCGGCCACCTGTATCATTGAAGAGACCAAGCAGCAATGTGAGTCTGGAAAGCAGCATTGACCAGTAAGCCTACCGCCATTATATTCAATATATCCCACTGTCTGTAATGCACTTAAGAAATTAAATTCACTATTTGTATTAAGGTGGTGGTACAAGGATAGAAAGGGATTCTTTGCAGTTCCAGAGGAGAGGAGGAGGAGAGCAAGAAGTGTAACATTACAAGCCCATACTTAACATAATGTGTTATGTGCTTCCTGTAGCTGCTTTTCAGTAAAAGCCATTCAGTGTTGCTAACATACTGCAGGTGCTTCCATACTGTTCAACCTTCTCTGTGGTAAAAATGAAATTGTGTTCTTACTTGTGAAAATCGTCATGTTAGTCTAACATGCAGTTTATATGTAAATTACTCTACATTAGTGATATTCTTTGACAGATAATGAATACAGTTATTGAGCAGTTGTACTGTTAGCTGTATTGCGGCTAAGTACTGCCACAGTGGGACAAATGTCACCCAGGATTCTGTTTTTGGATTTAATAAACATGTCTTTAATGAGCTGTAAATTCCCCGATGTCTGTCTTCTCCTCACTGTAGTTCTATCCGTCCTGCCCGTCACTACACAGTCTTTCTTTCTGAAGATTCATCCGGAGACGAGCTCCAGCATGACAGTGACTCCATCTCTGGGTTTCCTGACAGCTTTCTCTTCTCTGTCCCTTTTGATTGGTCACGTCTGTACGCATCTCTCTGATTGCCTTTGCGCTGTTTACTACTTAATAAGCCTTTCTCATCTCATCTCTGTCCTATTTGCTCTCTTTTCCTTCTATTAAAATGTGTGTGCATGCATGTGTGCACGTGCCTGGTATCGCTCACACTGTGGGGACTTGCCCTTTTATATCGAGACCAGTTGCTGATGTCCACCATGTAAATAATTGAAGAGGATGATGACTTGGTTTAAGGTTGGGTTGGGGTAAGGTTATGGTTCGGCAAGTAGTGGTTATGGTTAAAGTTAGGGCAAGTCTTCAGGAAATTAGTATAAGTTGATGTAAAGTCCCCACAAGGAATGAAAACAAACATGTACATATGTTTTAAAGCTTTACATTCCATAATTGTTATTTTGTTTGTTTGTTATTGCGTGTTAGTGAAAAAGGTCTTCATAAGCCAAAAACTCAACCTGGCCCCAGTCTCTCAATTTCAGGTAAAGGGAATGGTCAGTTTTGATTGGGTCTGACAGAGCTTTGTGATACAATGAAATATGAATACCACAAGGTAATAATGATTTGTCAAGCAGCAGAGCTTCTCTAACTTTTTCCACTGAGATAGCTATGTCTATAACATCTGTTTGTATTATTTATATTTATATTGTATTTTGCAAGCACTCTTGCAAGTCAGTGAGCAAGACAGCTGATCTAGTTGCTGAAGGTTCCAAAATTGTCATGTACAGAGTTCACTGGATTAGCCAAAATGGGACCCACCCATCAGGTTGTTATTTTAACTTTAAATGGTTTTTCAACTGATTTTTCCATAAAATCTGCTGTATCATGTTAATACATCAGTAGCATGATAAGAAATTATCTGGTTAAAGTGCAGGGACAAGTACAGCATGCTAGCCACAAACTTTGCAAAAGCACTTTCTAAGATGAGTCTTGAAGCAGGTTTTTTTTATTGTGGATAAAAGGTTGAGTAGAGTATTTGACCTATGAAGACCTCTAGTGTGTGAGAGAAATAACTAATCATAAGTCAAACACTGTTCCATCAGACCACAGCCTTACCGCTGCTTGAAGGAGGTTGAGATGATAGAAGGGGATGATCCTAGTTTTGGGGGAGAGAGTCACACTGCCCCACCCAGCCCAGTTGAGAAGTTCTCCAATGTCAACCTGCTTGGCGATATCTTTGGCTGCCACGACGAGCCCGACAGCCAACCAATTACCTTGGCTAAAAGCCTTGAGGACCTGAGGACTCCTAAAGACTCTGAGGAGCTACAAGCCAAGTTTGCCTACCAGGTCAGAGGTCCAAATGTTCTTTAGCCAGAAGTTGTTCAATACTTTTTCAGTAGTGTTGCTTCTTAAAGACAACATTTAATCCAGATTCCAGATGTGGTCCAGATGTTTCAGATTATGTAAAACCTCAGATTTGCAAATGACCAGGAAAATTGTTGTTGTTGTTCATGGTCCTAAACTTTCATCTAGTACCACTGTCATGTTTAATTGGGGTTGTGTTGAATTGCACATTCTCTTGAGATCTGAATGAATTGTCATTTCTGAACTCATAGTATGTATTTTTCCAGCAACATTAGTGAAGCACTCGGACTTTTTCTTTTACTTTGCAATAGCACTTAAAATCTGAATTATTTCTTATGTTTGCAGCGGATAGACCTGAGTGTTAGTGAGCACTCACAAACACTTCCAGGTCTCAAGCTCTCCAACCCCTACAACAAGCTATGGAGTATAGAGCAGGATGAGACAGCCTTGCCCATTTGTGTACCTCCTACTTGTGATAGACCACCATCTCTCCAACGTCCTGTGCAGACAGAATCCCACTCCCCAAGCCATGAAATCCCAAGCCTGGCCCCTGACCCTTTGGAGCCTTCCACCCCTGGCAATATCACCATACCACGGCCCCAAGGAAGAAAGACGCCTGAGCTTGGTACTGTTCTAGCACCGCCTGTGGCTCAGTTGCGCTCTAAACCAGCAGGAACTGGTGAAGGCAGGACTACATCAGGGGGACAGGAGTTTAGGCAAGCACTGAGCATGAGCACAGATGGAAACAGTATAGACCTGTTAAGCCTTCTAGACCCCCTTAACAACTCAGTGCAAATCAGTTCCACTTCAGGAAGTGATGGTGTTGATATTAGTATGTCATCATCTTCCTGCAAACCAACACTACCACCCATGTCTTACCCACAGAGCTTGCCTCCTTACCCAGTGCATCCTCACATATCACTCAACCCTTTTGTCCATTCTCTGCAGCACACAGCTGCTCAAATGCATTACTCACCAACTATAAGTGGGAATCCTTTTAGTGCAGTCTATAGGCCTCCCCCAGGCTCTTACTTACAACCTCCACCCCAGCCACAGCCTTTGTCTACACTACCAGGGCTCTACAGGCAGCATTCTCCAGGCAGTTCAACTCTACCACCCAGCTATGGACTGCTCCAGCCAGCCGTCCCCTCCTCAGTCACCTCCCTGCCTCACTCTTCTGCCAGCAGTAATACCCTTTCCAGCCTAGCAGACTCCAAACCTGTCTCCAGCGCAACCATGAACGTACTGGCAAAGACACTTCATGCTGACAGAGACAGCCAGAAGACTCAGGATCCTTTTGGGGACCTGCTGACTATAGCCAAGCCAGCTGCACCCCAAAAAAAGAAGGTGGAGGATCTTCGGAGGAGGTGGGAAACATTTGACTAAAACCTGTGAACATGCACTGTCAATCTCCAAACTTCCCTCACTACTGTATCAGGGCCTTCTGTTGCAGTTACTGACACATTAGCTCAGATACACTCTTCTGCCTACACAACTCACAATTGTAGAAGAATAATATCTTAAACTGAGATTAAAGCCATGCTGTAGAATGCAACCTTTACACCAATTTTTAATTTGATAACTTCTGAGTTACATTCACGTGCATCATTAGCTAGCTAGCTAAAATTAGTTGCTAATTAAGCTTAAAACTTTTTGCTTACATTGAAAGGTGCTTTCAGGCAATAAGCAGATGCTGTTGTGAACCGAAGTTAAGCAACAGTGTACAGAAGAGACAGGATGTACGCAAGTGTCTCATGAACATGGAATGATTCTTAGCCACTGCTTTGTCACATCACTTTTGTCAAAAAAAAATTCAACTTGCTGCTGCAGCTCATCAAGACCATGGCAATAGTAGAAACTTTATAGATGAAAAGAGTAGTTTTCATTGATACTATGGGAGTCCGCCTGTCCTATGCTGGATTCACTGGGTGTACCCACACAAGTGGGATTCACAAGAAACTATGGATGCATACATGATATGAAAGATAACGCTAAAGTACAGTTTTACTGTGTCATAGTTGACTTCTTCATTGAAGTAACCTGATATAATCAACCCTTTGTTTGCTACAAATTGCTCTTCTTCTGTTGGACCTCTGACAGAATACCTACTCAAGGTTGTTGCCCTCTGTGGTTGATCCAAGCATCATCTCATTCAGAATTAAAACATACTTGCCATTATCCCTAGTAAACACAGGTGTCAAGTCAACCAGTACTGAAATCTTAAGGATTAAAATCTAAAATAAATTCTTTCATTATGAAAATACAGTTTGTAAGTGGTGTTTTCATGTATGATGAAAACATTTTATGGCCATGCCCGTTGTTTCTTCTACTCTTGTGTGTTGTTAAATGGAGTACAGAGATGATGTATCATTAACTGCAAAAGGTCCAGTTGGTAGAAATGGTCATGTGTTGACGGCAACACACACCCCCCTCATGCCCACTGCCATCTGCTTCGCTGCTGACCATTGATGAACAGCAGTGTGCATCTGGTGAATAAATGGAGCATGTGGACTGTCCCATCAGCCCACAGTACTCGGACTCGGCTGTAGCCATCTGAGGATTGTCTTTTTTTTTTTCTCTCTGTCATTCTATCTACAAAATAGCACGCATAGCTGGCCTTGCTTTAAGATGTTCAGATGCCAGCTGTTTTCAGCCACTCACTAACAAACCGCCATCAGTTCTTTGCACAGCACCCTCTCATGCCATATGTCTTTAATGGCACCACATTAGCGTGATGCTCGCTATAGCTCAGTATAGATTTGTGACTTTAAAAACAACAGGCAGTATTTTCTGAAAGAGGACATATGTTAGTCAAATAAACATATGTCTTAAAAATGTCAGCCTCTACAAGTAGCTTGTATTATTACTAGTAGTTAGTCTGCTTTAGCTGACTGACATCCTAATGGCATTATAGTACTGTAGCCTCAAACTGTGGTGCATCTCAGTCATGCCATCACCTCACCTAGTTTTTGGTAGCTTCTTCATACACAGTGGCGTTATTGGCTTTCTTGATAAGTCCCATGTTTGACTTCTCTCACCGATCTGAGAAATATGTTACCTCCTACTGTTTTTGTTACTGTCCATAAAATTATTTTTAACATTGCATCTAATTATAGTACATGGATTTTGAAACACTTCATTCTATAATCTGTTGTTTTTAAACATCTCTTTCATCCTTTTCAGCTGCTGATATATGCACTCTAATTATTTCCTTCGGTTGGATTTTGCCTTAGTCCAGTTGTGCTTGATAACAGTGATGACTAGTGAGTTACAGGCTTACAGTACAGGTACTCAGAGTTTTGCTGCCACTTTTTATGTCAGCTGTTCTTCAACAACAGAAATAGTGTGGCTGTCACACCTTGTCAGCCTTTACTGCTTTCCCAGTGATCTTGGGGTGTCCATATGTGGTGAATGCCAAAAAGTCCTAATCGCTTCCAAGTGCTGTACAGTCCTAGTTGCTGTTGTGTGTGTGTGTGTGTGTGTGCGCGTGTGCGTGTGTGTGTGCGTGTGTCTGTGTGTGTCCATACAGATCACATATTTATACATATTCACAACTGATTAAAGAGTGGTGATTAGTTTCCCACTGCACTTGGATAAATACAAGTATTTCATCATAATGTCAGCTTCATTTGATTAAAATTCCACAGCTGATTTACACAGGACATATTCATTACCTTGTTAGATTGTTTGTTTGTTTTTTCGGTGATCACTATGTCCATTTTGGTCTAGAACGAGGTATCTTGTCCTTTTTTGTATTCCCACGACGTTTCATGTGAATATTCATGGTCCCCACAGGTTATCTCATTATTTTAACTTAAACACCTGTCCTTTGTTCTAAAGCCACTATCAGATATTTCCATGATGCTATACATCAAAAACATAGCTCTACAAATGGGACTATGAATGTTTTGGTGACTCTGACCTTTTAGCACCACCATCACACCAGAATGTCCTCTTGTACAAAAAGAAAAATTAAAATCAGTTTCAAAATATTCAAATCCACTTTGTCTCCTTTCTTAGACACATTTTTGTACTAACTTCCCTCTGTTAGTTTAGAAACACTGGCAAGCTAAGCCAACGCAGTACTTTTTGTAATGAAAAGTCGAGCGCTGTTTTTGGCTGATAGACATCCAGAGATCATAGTCATTGAGTCAGCAGTAATAACAGTATGAGGAAGGTTGAAACGGTGAATCCACCTACAGAATCATTGGAGTCTCTTTGGAACAAATCATTTCAAATGCAAATGTCTGTTTTTTGAATACTGCTCCTCTGTCAGTGAACTTTGTAGAGGGTATGCAGGATCATCCAAACACATGCAGACTATACTTTAGGTGAATTGCCCAAGTATTTGAATGTGTTTGACTATTTGTGACAGACTAGCACCTGTACTCTTGCTTAAAGCATACTGGGACAGGTGGCAGCCCCTTGTGACCCTGAACAATGCAAGTGGTTTAAATAAGGGATGGAAAATCAGAATATGACACTTGAAAATCCATTTTACTTTAAGGCATCTTTATTATAATACATTATTGAGAAAACATCATTGGATTTGTACAAAGAAATCAATAACATCATGTATCACATTTTCACATCAGTGTTTTCTTTTTCTCCCAAACCTGGAGGCCATTTGTTGCTTTTTTTAAAATTTATTTTGGTGCAATATTTCTATCTTAAATCCTAAAACTCTTTCCTAGTGGACAACTTCACTTTTGTGTTCTCCTCCCAGAGAATTGTCTTGAAGAACATTTGAAACACATGACCTTTGTGCCTGTGAAGTGCTACCAGTGAAAGTCAAAATCCAACAAAAGTTTGAAGACAATAAACACAAATGTACAAACTGTACAGGCTTAACTCAAAGAGAAACAGCTACTCGTGGAGTAATCTGTACATTAGGCTGTGACGGCCTATGGGCCACCACGTAAGCAGGTATAGGACTCGGACTACCAGCAATGTTTTAAGATCTTTATTTAACAACGGGTGCAGGTGAAGAGACTCGGGTAACTGGCTGAGCAGGTGGACGTCAAGTTGGACTGACGTAACCCACTGGAACAGGACAGGGACTGGCAGAGTATGAAGATGGAAAAGCTGGAACCAGAGTCTAGCAGGACCAGCCGAGCCGTGGCGAGTCGGCCAGCAGAACAGCAGAGTCCACAGACTGGCTCGTCCGGGGTAGAGTGCGGTTGTCAGGATAGGTGTCAGACAGTTTGTGTTGGAGCTGGACAGACAGCCAGAACAGAGCTGGCCAGCAGGGGAGGAGTTGAGCCGGGCAGATGGAGCAGGAATAGGATAGGGCAGACTGTACAGACAGTACAGGTCTAGAACGAGGCTGGCAGTTCAGGTGCTTTGCTGGGCTCACTGTTTAGGAGCCGAGCTGGTAGTACAGACTACCAGGTAGTACAGAACTGGGCTAACCAGGAAGTGTGGAGCTGAGCAGGCCAGGTTATACCGAGATGAGCTGAGCAGGTTGTACAGAGCTGAGCTGAGATGAGCAGGTCATACTAAACTCAACTGGCTGGGAGTGCAGGGCTGACCTCCCTGGATGGGGGGGGGGACCTGCCATGGCCGGGTTGTACGGAGCTGAGCTGGCCAGGAAAACTGGAGGCAGAGCTAGGCAGCAGAGCAGGCAGGACAGGTACAGGGCTGGAACACAGAGGTATACAGGCTAGGGAAGAAAAACACTTTCTTGGTAAGGTGATCGAAGGTCAGTCAGTAAGGAATTGCGAGACCAGTGAAACTGACTGGCAAGGAGAAGGCAGCCGAGCCCAAGCTAAATATCCTGGAGCCAGATGGGAAATTAGCTGTAGCTGCACTGGTAACTCCCAGCCACGCCACCTTAATTGCCAAAGGGAGGGAGAGATGCAGAGACTGGCATGTGACCTAACATAGGCTGTCTTCCTATAACCAGACTCTCATGTCATTAATAAAACTAGCTCAAAATACTGTATTAATGACTTTTTAAAATATGCATTAGATGTTTGTGTTTTTGTATAAATTGTTCCTTTTTTTATTCCCATGTTGAAAAGATTAGTTCCGCTCACAGCAGTTCTCGCCCTCTTTCTTGTGGCTCCTGTCATACAGAAGGTCACCAGATACTGCCTTTATTTACCACAGTTAAAGTGGTAAAAGTCAGAGTACAGTGTGTTATGACAGTGACAAATTTGCAGGGTTACAGAACTGTACCCTCTGATTCTACATTCTGATACATGTGGCAACCGGGTTAGCTGTTTTTTAGCATAGTGTTGCTTTATGCATTACTCTTAATTGTGTACTCTACTTCGTGAAAACTATGTCCTTGTAAATTTGATGTGAAACCAGTCTAAGAGGAGCTGAGGTGGGAGCAGCCTGTTGGGTGCCAGTAAGGCACTGCAGAAAAGGACACAACTCGATATCATTAAAAAAAACTCCAGTCAACCATTAGTGAGGGGAAATTGTGGTGAAAACATGGTGGAAATAGGACATTTCATGTTCTGATGTGAGGAAGCTAACAGTCAGTCTTCCACAGTTTGTGTTTTTGACTGTGCAGTGATTCTTAATATAATGCCCTTAAATTCCTTACTGTATATTAGATAGTACTATGACAACAAGTTAAGGCCCAGCCATAGACAAGCTGTACAGAGTTGTACAGTGCCATGTACTGTCTTGTTCCGTCATCCTATTAATGAACTTTTGAGGTGCAAATGACTTGGGGCTGTTTCCTCAGATATCCAGAGTCTTTTAACAAAATCGTGCCACCTACAGTACATAATTAGCACATTTCTGTTGAATGAAGGGACATTCTAAGCAGCAGCGTTGGGTCAGTACCTGAGCTCCACCAGGAGGGGGCTGTGGCCTACAGTATATGGCCTTCAGTTGAGCCCAGGTAAAACCTGGATCACCATTAATTTCTCAGCCTTTGAGTCAGATGAGCCTTTCCTCTGGTGGGACTTTAAGCATGCTGTCCATCTCCAGCCGAGCTCCAGCTAGCTCCTGGGCACTGGGGCTGTATGCCCCCTCCGACTGGCGTTTCTTCCTTGCCGTGAGCACCATGAAGATCAAGCTGATGATCATTATCAACACACAGAAGCAGAGCAGTGGGATGGCTACCACCAGCCAGGGGATGCCCTGTTTATAGGCATGTTTCTGCAAACAAAGTGCAGTGATTTTCCCTTAATGATGTGAATATTAACTAAAATGTTAAAGCAGTTATTGTAATAGCCAAGCAATATGGTGATGCAATACACTGTTAGAATTAAGTTTGGAATCTGACTCAAACACTGGGGACTTGAGACTCTACTCAGACTTTGGGTTTAGTGACTTGACTACAGCACTGTTCTGGATGCCTACCCTAAAAATGAACTGAAGAAAAAAAATGCACATTTCTTGAGTAAAGAAGTAAATGTAACAGGCGTACGTTAGTGTCACAGGTTGGACCGCTGTAGCCGGGCAGGCATTCGCAGACAAACATATTGAATTGATCCAAACAGGAGCCTCCATTTCGACAGGGGTTAGACTCACACTCATTAATCTCTGTCTCACAACTGCAACATACAAAAATACATGATGTCACATATTAACAGAACATTAATACACGGGAAAGAAAGAAAGCTGCCTAGGGAGAGCTTATAACACATTCATTCATATAATGAAATTACTTTTGTACAATGTCTTGGTAGTTGGATTGTAAAAAGAGTCAAATGTGAGCTTACCTGCTGCCTGTAAAACCCGGTATGCACGTACAATTAGCTCCCCACAGCCCATCACGGCAGACGCCATCATTTGCACACTGGATGTCTTTACCACACTGTACTGGAGGATAGTCCCACCTGTTGGAATGATGAATGAAATGCCAGATTTCTGTGTTGCTCTGTGCACTGTATGCTAAAGCTATAGATACAGCTGCCTGTTTAAACTGACAGATATATAGATGAGTGAGTACTCACTGGCAGAGAGGGCCACTGTAGTCCTTGGGGCATATACAGGTGTATGTGTTGGGCCCGTCCTGACAGGTCCCTCCATGTTGACAAGCATGATGCTCACACTCGTTGATATCCTCATCACAGAGCATGCCAGCATATCCAGGGTGGCAACGACACTCAAAACCAGTTAAGTAGTCCTTACAGCTTCCATGAACACAAGGCTGAGATGCACAGTCATCTGTGTCTGTCTCACACTGCTCTCCCTCCCAACCAGAGTCACACACGCAGCCAAATTTATTAAAAAGATCCTCACATGTGGCTCCATTTAGGCATGGATTTGAATCACAAACAGTGGCACTGGTACAACCTAAATGGATCTTTGGTTTTCCAACTAAATGAAACTGAGATGGCTGTGGGGCCTTGTAGACATCCATAAAAGGAAGATAAACTCCTCCGACTCTCACCGCACCCAAGCAGCCAGTGAAGCTTTCTGCAACAGCCAATTTGGCCCCCTTCTCATTGAGAAAGTGCAGGCTTCCAGTGCGCTCCGGCACACTGCTGGCGTCTGTGATTCCATCCACAGTGATGACCCAGACAGAAGCTTTATGCGCCTTCTCAGCCATCGAGATGCTCACACGATGCCAGTTCCCGTCAGCCACTTGACGAACTCCTGTAAAGGTAAGAATCTCAACACTGTTGCCACTGTGGATCTCCACCCGGACTAAAGAGTCAAGCAGACCCACTATCAGCAGGTCAGAGCCCCAGGAGGCCCTTAAAAGCACAGCATTCTCTGATCGAGTCCGTAGCTCCATGTATATGTCAGAGACAGGTGCAGCCAGGGAGCCTCCAGCACTGTACTGCACAGAGTTGTTCTCAAATGTGGCATTATACAAACCTAAAGTTCAACATGGAGAAATATTAGTATCATTAGTGCAAAGTTTTGATTTCTTCAATTTAAGGAACAGCCTGACAAATAGGGTTTGCATGTGTTTGACTATAACAAAGCAAAGAACTGCAACTAAATAAATATGAGTAATATTGTAAATCTCAACTAATTAACATTTTCATTATCTTCAGGTTTATGTTTAAAATGTAATTACATTTAGAATGAGAAATTTTCCAGGAATTAAGTGATATAGTGCACAGTTTATTTCTTTGAAGTAATTACTTTAAAGCAAAGAAAACATTCAGCCCCAAAGCATATGTATCAAACAGCCAAAATCCTTTTATACTCATTATTTGCATGTTTCTTATATGGTGATTAGATCCTCAGTATTTCTGAGTTAAGACAGCTAATAGAACATATTGTATATAATACATTTGTCCAAATAATATGACCTATTTATGATTAGCCACAGCTGTAAAATTATACAGATGTTCTCACATTCATATCCATCAGGGAGGTCCACACAGTGGCCACCACTGACACAAGGGCTGCTAACACACCACACGCGTGTTTCACAGGTTTTTCCGGTGTATTCCTCCAGACAAGAACATGTGAAGTCATTGAATGTGATGATGCATTTTCCTCCATTTAGACAAGGCTTCCTCTGCAGAGGGAAGCACCGGGATGTTACACCATTCAGACACAAGGAACTCAGACAACAAATAAAACTATGTTGATAGGTATCAAAACATGTCAAGGGTCATTTTTGTGTTCCACTTTGGGGACAAAGTCATTCTGTCCATATTTCAAGGGTGAGCACATTACAATATGTTAGCAAGGTTCTCCTATTGGAAACACTCCTCTAAGCATTTCCATGAAATGGTGAAAACAAGCAAGCTAAAATGATGCAGAACACAGTCTATCCATTTATTGTTTACCTATTTATTTTTGTTTAGGTCCCTGTGCCACTCATCTTCACTAGTAGTAGCTACCATCGGTGTCATTCATGCCATGATGGTAGGATGTGGGAACGTCCCATTACTATGACATGGGAGTATTGCTCCTAGATGGTTACACTCACTACAGGCAATGTACTAACACTAGATAAACAGAAGCCTAAAATGGAGCATTTTAGCATATTACATGGGAAATCAGGTAGAGAGCACTTAAACCACGCTGGCATTACCTGACTGGTATCAGTTGCTTTAGCTTCTCTGGCTCGTTCATCAACTGTCTGGCTACCAGCTGACTGGAAATGACCAATTATGAATATCCAGACAGTTCGCATTTCTGTTGGTACACACATGCCAGCACCATTTGCTACAGCATCTCCCTCCGTCATCATACTCTCCATCTTTGGTACTGTTGATTTTACTGTGATTTAATGTGTGTTTGTTTAGTTCTCTCAAGTGCATAATAGCTGTGGGGGAGGGGGCGTCAGAGGGGTAGCTCATTTATTACTAAACTCTGTCACTGTGAACTGATTGGGTTATCACTGTGGGTAATATTAATCCACCCATTGGTGGCATTTCTAAAACTTGCGTGTACTCACTTGGGTGTGTCTTTTGACACTACTGAGAATTCTGTAATTCTTTTGGCTGACCAGGAGTTAGTAGTTCTTGTAATTCTTTTGGCTGACCAGGAGTTATGGCATTTGTCAGAAATTCTCTGTATTTCCGACATGCAGTCAGAACTTGGAGACTTCTTGTATGTAACATTGGTCTGTACAATATGAAGGCAGCATGAGCTTTGAGATGGAACACAGGACTATAAGGAACAAAACAAAGAACTGTTTCCTACCTTGCAGGCATCATCGCTGACACAGCCCTTCGTTACATTTTCAGCATCACTTGGTAAATACACTTCCTCCTTGTCTGAGCTGTTCCAGGCGTCCACGTCTAGATGTACAGAGTCTAAACGAAGGTCCTGCAGGCAACCTTTGTAATGTCCCCCCCACACATCAGAGCTCCAGTCTTTTGGAAGTCCTCCTACATAGGCCTGATCGCCACTGTTAACATTCACTTCCGGGATCTCTCCTATTCTGTAACGAAGGCCTGCATGCTCAAAGGTCACCTGCCTGTGTCGGACCTCCACCTGTAAAAGCTGCTTCTCACCAGTGGTCACAAACATGGGAGCTGTCAGTGGGGCACTGTTAGGCAGAGAGCTGACAAAAACCCTCCCCATTCCCAGGTAGACTGAGAAATAGATCTCTCCACCATCTTTGTCTGTGGGTCTCCTCAGCTGGAACAACAGCCCATCTGGCTTGATTGACCTCAGCAAGAAGGACACTTTGAAATCACTCCCGTGGCTCTTACCTATATCATAAGCACTGAAACTCACAGTATCCTCATGGCTGTATGTCCATGAAGGAAATTCTGTCAGGGGAGAATTGAAAGTTTGAATTAAGCACATGAAGAATAGAATGAGGACAATTAGCCATGAGACTTTAGTATCAGGAAGGTCACTGGAGTGTAACAGTTCTGTCAGCAGTGACCACTGTTTCCAGAGGTCAAGCACTAAACCTTTCACAGGTAGCTTTGCAGCTAATCATACCTTGATTATGTTTATGGGTCCTGTCATGAGAAAACAGTAGCTGCCATCACTAACAAAGTACCATTCTTTTTTGCAAAAGATACATTCTGTCAAAATAAAAATGATCAAAGAAACCATTAATTGTATTTATTTTAACCTGGGGAAATAGGTTTGTGAGGTCATAACCTCTTTTTCAAGGGCACCCTGGCATGATAGCAGTACGATCAAAGTCAGCTTGCAGCCGTAAGTGTTTTATGTAAAGCAGCAAGGAAAGACTTGAGAATGTATAGTGAAAGGGAATTTTGTTACAGGACATTTTAACACAGTGGTATTGCTACTTTAATTTAAGTAAATTACACCGGTAACTAAGACTACTGAGAACTGGTTTGATTTTAAAGAACTTGCTGGTGGAAAAGGTGCTTACCTTCAGAGCAGTTCTCACTGCAGAAGGGACGGTAGCAGTCACAGTGGTAGCTGGTCCACAGGTCCACACAACGTCCATGTCCATAGCAGGGGTCAGGCTTACACCATTCAGTCTTACTACAGCCCAGCTCATAGCCTTGGTCCTCTGGAAGTGTTTGGGGTAGGATAGGTTTAGAGTCTATCATCAGATCTTCCATACATCCAATGAAACCTGCACCACTTACAGAGTGCTCCAAAAGCTCCTCTGGTGCTCCACCAATATAAATATGAGTGAAGGCTTCAGAAGGCTGGAAAGGTGTTTCATCTGTCTCTCCATGTGTAACTCTGCACCCGTCCCTATCACAGCCAGGGCCTTTCAGGATCAAAACCAGACCTTTATCTACAATCACATGAGCATCCCTCCAGCCTCCATCATTAACCAAGCCGGGAAATGTTACATCTAGTTTAGACTCCTCAGAAAGAGCTTTTGCATGAAGACCACCCTTCACTATCTCCAGGAGGAGGTGGCTGTCCACATTCCCTCTGTAGAAGAGCAACATATTGGGTAGGGTGGTCCTGAAGCGTAGCTGTACCCTGAAACCTTGGTGAAGTTGGTGCTCAACCTGCCTTAGGGTCCTTTCTTCTGGTACAACTTGGATGTGAATGAATCCAGGACTGGAAAAGGAGAAGGTTGTTCTCGTGGCGCAGTGCTCATCAAGGAAGCCATGAGGGCACAAGCATGTGTGGCCATGTTCTCCACGGTCCAGCCATGGACGGCAGGTGGCTCCATTTTGGCAGTCGTGGTCCACACAGCCGTAAAGTTTCACATCACAGCGATCTCCTCCCCAAGGAAGTTCACTTGGTTCTGCTTCAGGACAGTGGCACGTGTAGGACGCCCTGCCATCTTCACACCAGCCACCATTCTGACAGGGCTGGCTCTTACATTCATCAATGTTCACTTCACAAAGCTCACCTGAAGGGAGACAACAGTGACAGGTCGATATGATGGTGGGTGACTATTACTGGGCATCAGAGATGTGACCGTTTGTTTTTGAAAAAAAGCATTTGTTTGGCAATTATCCTCTTTCTTCATTTTTTTAAAAATCATATACTGTACTGTACTGTACCAGAAAGACTGTAACTCTGGTAGGCATCCAACTGATTTACTGAACACAAACTGCTGAAGCCTCATTTTACTTCAAATAAACTTGTGGTTACCTGTTAGCGCAAAACAAGGCCTGTGGATTTTGTCCCCTATACCTCACACTGGAAGTGCAGAGGAGATCTTATAATGGCCACTATGAACAGGAGGAAGGATTACAGCAAGCAAAACTCATTTAAATGTTCATATGGATGCCTGATTATTGCTAAAAGACTGACTTCAGAAACTGTGGATGTATCCTTCATATATAACATACAGTTATGGCTAAAGTAGCTTTAAGGTTAACATCATCTTATTCCATGCTATGTGATAGCATCATATGTACTGTAACTTGTCCTAGCTCCTCATTGAAGCTACATGCACAGTAAATGATGTTCTGTCATGTTTCCTTTATTAGACAGAAGACAAAACACAGCATGATTTTTCCCACTAGTAGATAAATTGCATTTAAGAGGTTAAATGTAATTTTGTTAGTTAGCTCATTAATGATGTTAGCATAACATTTTTATTGTTATTCCTTGTAAATGTTTTTAATGTTTACACAAATGTCTTGGCTTGTTTTGCTAAGAATTTTAAAAATATAAATATTTTAAGAAAAGTAAAATGATTCCTTTATGTTGAGACAGCAACAACAGCAGCTGACACAAGCCTATATTTGGAGTATACAGCCAGCGTTGTGCATGAACACGGTAAAAAAGTGCAAATGTGAATGAACAGTGTGAACAAATCACACCTAAATAACATGAACGTGAGCTTCGTACGTGCAAGGTGGTGAACTTCATTCAGTATGGAGAACGACTCTAACACCAATGAGCTAAAACGAAACTAACACTACAAGTTTACCCTACAGATTTTAGGATTACTTGTTTAGCTGTCCGCTGGAACATCACATCCCCACGTCAGCACCATTGTGTCCCGTTAACACACAGTGACACACCACCCATATGCAACACAAGACTTAAAACAAACACACCCTCAAGCTGCAGCAGACAACTGGACCACAGAGTAAAGAGACCAGTGTGGCTGCAGGGAAACGTTGTATTTTCAGAGATGTATTTTCATTTATATGCCACTCATATCCACAGTACTCTTCACATAAAATAAACTCTATAGCAGAAATCACTCCCTAAATGGATATAGTAAATAAAAAGAAACTCTCTATTGGCTACTTCAAACCTGTATTAGCTCAGTTTCATTCCTTCTCTTTTGGGTGTCATTGCAAAGCAGAGCTGCAATAGGCAAAATACCCTAACCCTATTATTTTGTTATTTCACAGGTGATTCCCCAAGAGCTCAGGATATAACCCTGATGTATTTTAGCATACATGTTATCAAGTGGTTAATAAAAATTGTGAAAATACAAAAACACAGTGCGTGAGCTGCACATGGTGCACTGCAAACAATGTTGTTTCCAGCAACTTTTTGGCAATTCAGGCACCACAGCTACTTGATGCTGGGGATGGATAGAAGCAGGTTCTTCTAAAAATGTTAGTTACTGCTCAGAGCTTATTTAAAAAAGTTAAAACAGGTTAAACTAGAAAGCACTGAGAGAGTGCAACCTCCGCCAAGGGCAACTCAGTTTCCCCAAAATACTATAAAAATGCTATTCCCAGCCCAGTATACATACTATCATGGCCAAAAATATTCTGTTCTGTTTATTACAAGGTGCTTGACTCACCTAGGAATCCAGCTGAACATGTACAAGTGTAGCCATTGATCTTATCTTCACAAAAGCCTCTGTTCTGGCAGGGTTCAGACTCACACTCATCAATGTTGACCGAGCAGTTTTCTCCTGTAATGTGATAAAAATTAAATAATTGTCAGAAAAGTTCAAAAGTGTGAGAAGTGAGATTTCGGCTGATTGGCTTCTGTAGTTACTTTCCTGCAAACCCTTGCTGACACTGGCAAATGTATCCAGCTGCATCTGCAAAGCTGAGCTCCCACTCCATCTCCCAGTGAGATGGATTCGAACGCTGGAAACACTCCCCGCCATTCTCACAGGGTTGCTCGAAACACTCATCGATGTCAACCTCACAATTAAGTCCTTCATAGCCTAAAGACAATCCAAGATAAAAATAAACTGTTCAACCTACACATATAAATCATCCCATGTGTCTTCCAAGACAGGTCACAAACTGAGGAAGGAACTGTGTGTTTTACATGTTTACCAACCAGACCGACTCTTTAATACTTGAGTTCCTTGTTAATGATGGCAGCTTAATCATATAAGCGATGTTCAGAGCTGCCACAAACAACAAAATGTTTTTCTTTTTACTCTTCCTTGACCACATTTAGTTAATTATCAGAGGATCTTGGCTGTCTGAGAACTTCCTCCATTTAAACATGGTCACAATGTAATGTTTTTATTTCAGCCATGTTAGCACAGTGGCTCTAGGAATGGCAAGGTTGTCAATCCACTACTTTGGTTCACACTAAAATATCTCAACAAGATAGATCACAATGAAGTGCTGTACAAACATTCATGGTGCCTAGTGGATGAATCCTAAGACTTTAGAGATCCTGTTGTGGACATTTGTGAAATATCTCAACAATTACTTGATGGATTGCTTTGAAATTTGGTGCAACCATTCATGTCCCTCCCAGAATGAACTGTGATAATTTTGGTGATCCTCTGTGTTTTCATCTGGTCAAAATTTAACTTTGTCCAACGCTTTGGTTTCTGGCCAAATACCTGTAAAACTAATGATACTACCACTAGCCTCAGTTGTAAGCTATGCTTACTGCTAAATGGTTAATGTTAGCATGTTAAGACACTAAACTAAGATGGGAGACAGGGTAAACATTACCTGCTCAATATCAACATTCTAAACTTTATTAGGAGACTCTTGAAAAAGACATTTTTAATGTCAATGAGGTTTTCCTAGTTAAATAAACCAATAAAATGTGTGTAAAGCCATGCAGAGCTGCTAGCATATGGCTTAAGAGTGCATTAGATTGTACACACTGTTTGATAAATCAAGTGAAAAAGGGACAGGACGTGGTGTCTCTCCAGTATACTACCCCCGACCATGACTGCTATCTACAGAACCTCTACTGTTATTCCTGCTTCTCTGCCATCTGTTTTCAAGAATGGGCCCAGACACTGGCCCTGACTATCACCTAGCAAAGGATATAAAAAGAGATTTTCAAACATGTAAAACAGCCAGCCACGGAGGAGCTCTCAGCAGCTAAAAGTCTGAAACAGTGGCCACCAGAGTGAAGAGGTGGCATCTTTTCTACAAAAAAGTGGGACGAAGAAAGAACAAAAACCAGGGCTAACATTGGTTTGGCAAACTTATGGTTTTAGGTCAGATGATTTCTTCACTGTGGCCAAATGGGAGTCCTACAGGCTGCATGTGGGCTTAATCAATGTTTTGTGAAAAAGTACAGTACCTAGAAATGCTGTGGACAGGCACATGGCAATGGCTCAGTTCACAACCCCTGTTTGTCCTTGTGTTGGGACATAGACAAAATTTTACTGTAGCTGTGCAGCACATAGTTCAGGACCTGGCCAGCAGAGGCAGGTGTATCCTTTGACTCCTTCTAGACACGTGGCACCATGCCGACAGGGGTTAGAGGCACACTCAGGGACGTCCACTTCACAGTGATCACCCTCAAACCCTGTATCACTGCAGTCACATTCATACCTGTAACAGACACAAGTAGGTTTTGTTTCACAGCAAGTTATCAAAATTCAGACAATGAACAATGATTAAACAGAAAAACTCCATGGTGATTTCTCAAAGCACATGGACCTGCCCTCAGCCTCCTAGAGAGGTGACCGCTACCATGGCTGAAAGCTGAAGCTGATACAGAAGTGGCATGAAGTGACGTACCAGTAATGGTGGTTTTAAGGAGGCAGCTTTCTTGTCCCATCTCAGCTCTACACAGCTTTCCTCACCTTTTCTAAACTTTTGGCTTTTCTATTTCTAGTAGCAAAGATGGCAGCAAGAGAACAAACTCTAACTCCAGGCTTTTAAAACATTGATGCTATCATCATTGTCTTTCAGTCTGATATACTGTACTGTAAATACAGATAAATGGAACACACTGGCATTTTTCCAACTGTGACCCAGACTTAACAGAAATGTAACAATAAATGAATGAATAAATACATTAAAACATGATTGAGGCACTTTGAGATGATTCAATAATGATGAAGAGAAGAGAATTTGCTGTCTTGATGGAAACATTACTGATCATAGATAACGGGTCTAAAGAAATTAGCCTTTCATTCTGCAGGGACATTTTTTACTTTTAACGTCCACCAACATTGTTTGAGGATTCTCAGGATACCCTCAGAATGATCAATGCCGTTAAACTATCTTCTGGGTTTTGTCACTGGGTCTTAAACTCTGTGAAGTAATGAAAGCAAATAATGGGGACAATCTGATGTAGCAGCACATGGCTCGTGCCAACCCTGCACAGGATACTCTGGTACTGACCTTCATCGTCGTATAGCTCTTAAAGACAGTAAATGTTTCCTACCTGTTTACCATGTCATGACAGTCAGCTCCGTTCTGACAAGGCTCACTGATACACTCATCAACATCGACCTCACAGTTGATGCCATCGAACCCTGGCAGACATTCACAGGAGTACATGCCCATCAGGTCATGGCAGGTGGCTCCATTGTGGCAGGGGTTGGACTCACACTCATCTATTTCAATTTCACAGTTGACTCCTGTTGGAGGGGTAAGTCAGGATATAAGTCAAAAGCACCAGGAAAATTATGAAAATGATGATGACAATGAAGTTGTCATATCTGGTAAATGGAGCCATACAGTCAGATGATCAGTCACATTTTTGAAAATCACCAGACCAACCACATCGAACCGGCCAAACGTCTAGATCTATTCTGGTCTCCACCTATCTGCAGTGATAAAATCCTTTCTATAGGATTTCCAAACAAACTAATAGAGTGACAGGGGAATGCAGCAGTGCTGATATAAGCTGACCACTTGCAGATAACGTGAATTTCCATTGACACAGAGCAGGCTCACAAAGAGAGAAAGCAGTGTTAAAAAAAGCAAGATGGGAGTGTTTTCTCTCACTCTGCACGGAGACTTTATCTGAGCTACAGATAAGATGGCTGACTAAAAACATCTTGCTGCACACTTAAAATACTCCTTGTGTTCAGTTTATCAGGAACGAACAGAACACTTTAGAATTAGCAGGTGGTGGTGAGGAACAAGTAGTAAAGAAACCTCTAGAGGAAGAAATACTGTACATGCTGTTAGCAAACAGAAAGTGCTTGTCTCACTGCCTCTGTGTTCCTAAAATTACAAATAACAATGATGTAATGTTAAATAAATAAATAAAAATTTACATCCAGCAATTAAACTGTAATTACTGACTACAAGCACTATATATATGTCTGAGGTACAAATGGATGGATACCTGTCACAAAAATATTGTATATTTTTTACATCCATGGAGCTAAATGTGTATGTGTGTGTTCTTGTACTTGCTACATAGTGAGGACAAAAAAGTATTTTTTGCTACATAATGAGGACATTGGTTACAGTCCTCACTTTCTGAAACAGTTTTGTGAGGGTTAAGACTTGGTTTTAGGGTTCAGGTTAGATTAGGCATTTAGTTCTGATGGTTAGGTGTTAGGGTACGGGGCTAGGGAATGCATTATGTAAGTGAGTGTCCTCATAGGAGATGTACCTGCAAAGCCCACCAGGCACTCACACTCATAGTGGTCCTTCTCATTAATACAGGTAGCGTTGTTCTCACAGGGCCGTGAAGCACACTCATTGATGTCAATTTCACAGTTGTAGCCCTGAAACCCAGGTACGCAGAAACAGTGGAACTCTGCAATTCCGTCTATACAGATAGCACCATTCTGACAGGGCTCTGACAAACACTCGTTCACATCATCCTCACAAGTCTTCCCTTCGAACCCTGGTGTACAGTGGCACTCAAATCCCTCTGGTTGTAACATACAAGTCCCGTTGTTCCTGCAGGGCTCATCAATGCAGTCAGTTACATGTGTCCTGCAGTCCTGCCCTCCAAACCCAGCAGGACATCTGCAGAAGTATCCATTCAACTGGTCTACACACAGAGAGCGAGGTTTGGAGCAAGGGTTGCTCTGACACTCATTCACCTCCTCTGTGCAGTTATCACCCGTCAGTCCATCTGGGCAGATGCAGTGGTATTCTGTGGTACCAGGGGTGCTGGTACAGTCTTCACATTGAGCAAAGGAGCAGGCGTCATAGAGTTCATCACAGTTTTTGCCCATGTATCGGATCCCCTCTTTTGTACAAATACAGGCGTAATCATCCATGGTGTCCACACAGGTGGCTCCATTCTGGCAGGGTGCAGACAAACATTTGTCTGACGCAGCTGTGCATAGAATTCCTGAAAAACAAAGAAAGAGTTAGGCTAAGGTTGATTAATACTGTACATGCTGAGAACATATTTGCTATAAGAGAGAGACACCTCATGGTTCCCCAAGAACATTTTGAGACATTACATAATACTTCTACAAATAATAATGTATATTTTTACTTCTTTTTTATTTATTTCTTTTCTCCAATGAAAGCCTTATTTATTTCATGAGGTATTTAGTTTGATTTGATTTTGATTTGATTTATTCTTTCAAACATGCAGAACAAATGACATCAACACACCCATAATTACACAAATCCAACCAATGCTAATCTAGAATCAGTTTGCTTATACCTAGTACATGTTTGAATGGAGTAGTTCAGAATGACATTTGCTTGTCAATAACCCTCTGGTTCTGTGGTCACCAACTGTAGTCGAGATTCAGACCAATACCACATATTGTATGTAAAGACTCCTTTATGTATTGATATTAATTCATTAATTTTTTAAAATATATTGTATCACTCATTTATTTCATTACCATTGTATTAATTAATCGATTCATGTACTTATTTAACTGCTTAATTATCACTCATCTGGTAACAGTAACCCTGCATTAAAACAAGTAAGTGAAGTAATGTGGGAATGAATGTGTGTGTGTGTGTGTGTGTGTGTGGTTGTTTGTCTGTGTGTTAGCCCTGCGATGGATTGGCGACCTGTCCAGGGTGTACCCCGCCTTTGCCCGATTGCCGGCCGGGATTGGCTCCGCACCCCCCGTGACCCCGCTTAGGGAACAAACGGTAGAAAATGAATAAATATACTGTAAGTTTCCATTAATAATTTTGGATAAATATACTTTTATATTTTGATCATATCTGCAGTGGAGTATCAGTGTGGACCTACTACAGCAGGAAGCGTTGCATGGGACTTAGATAGGATCTCTTCATTGTAGGATGAACAAAATGTTTAAGCTCAGGTGAAGCCTTCACCCAACCGCAGAACTTTGAAAGTTAATCTGAAAAATATTTTATTAAACTGTAACAAACGCTATGACTGGCGGGATACTATTCGATAGGACTGGGGGCTTTTTTTTGTGTCTGTGTCCTTGTCTCATCATTCTACGGCCTATAGGGGCCACTGGTTGGACCACCCTAACAGGTCATTCCTTTAATTAGTTGTTATTGTGTCTCAGTTTGCTTGTAGTCAGTGCAAATAATGACTGTAATGCGTATTATTATCCATGAACAACTGTTCTGTGGGCCTGTGTGACCGTTCTGCAGTAGATGTAAACACTATAAGCTGGGGTGGGACGGTTTAGTGAGGATTTACAGTACATACACCGTGTTCCCTCACCAGCCAATGCCATCAGGTCGCTGTGGAATCAGTCCACATTCCTTTTATTAAGCCAGCCTCAACTCCCAGTGCGAAATACCCCCATCCACTATTCCAAAGCCTCTCAACCCCCAACACTTTGATCAGTGTCCTGTTGCCAAATTTTCACTGAAGGGGAAAATATTAACAGTGAGGGGATTTATGAGGGGAGGAAGGGGGCAGAGTTGGGATAGAATAGTAATGAGACAGATGGTTGCTCTTGTTATTTGTTGTAAAGGTTGGCTGTCACTGGCCTTTTCCCAGGAATGAGAGACAGATAAAATAAGAACACTTTCACTCCTGTCATTACAGACTGAGGAGGTCAGAATGTTTGAGATGAGATACTGTACATCTCTGGTTACACGGCTGTAGTGAAGGCCACCAAGTTTAAGACCAAGCAAAGTCAATTCCAATTCAAAGTCAAGCCAAAACCAAGACTTAAAAACACCTGTATTCTCTCCCAAGGATAAACTTAAACTAGCCCTTAATAAGAACATTCCACTGGGTTTAAAAGCTGGGAAAATAATTTTGTAATCAGTTCTTATGAAAGATGGAGTCCTAAATGGACACTTCGTTACATAGAACAGTTTTGGTCATATCACCAAAGAGGATATATTTTTTGTTTCCTCTGCATACTTCAATTTTAAGTAGGTGGGGCCCTGTTGGAAAAACATGGGGCTCTATTGTCCTGCCAGAACGATTTCTGTGTCATTTTAAATGTAGTTGTTGTGCGGTTTTTCTTGAACACGTCTACTTTTTTGCACACTGGTGTGTTTGGTATTTGCCTGCCATAAATGAATGTGCTCATAGTGAGGTGGTAGGAGAGGCACAGCTGAGGCTGTTTGTATGTTTACTAAACAGCACAGTGTAATTTTGGTGCTTGTTTCAACCCCAAAAAGCCATAATAGCAATGCCTTCTCAGACCACCTCTTATCGCAGTTGCAGGTGTATTTGCAATTTTCCTGACAAGAGCATAGGTTGGGAATCATGAGATCAGGTACCCAAATGTATTTTATTGGCTCACTGTACTTTAATATGACAGAGGTCTTATGTGATGTTGTGAATTTAATTGATTTTCCAGTCTCGTGGCTATAGGACAGTGCTCCTCCAGGTGCCATTCCTCTCTCCTGGCCTCAAACCTTCCACCCACACTGATTAGCTTTCACCTACCCACCTCCCAAACACACAATCTGTTCCTCATCTTTGTCAAACATTTAGTGCTTCAAGGAACACAAAGGAATCACTGTAGATGAGCTTGTCAGTACTTTTAACAGCTCCTTCACATATATTTTAATGCTATAGCTCCTGTCAGATACATGAACGTCAAAGATCTTCATTTCTATGAAGAAACAAGGAGTTTAAAAAGACAGTGTTGGAAGGCAGAGCAGAAACAGAAGGATAGTGATTATCTTGCTTATCTTAAAGACATGGTGCCTACTTATCAATGTGTAAGAAACACAAAGCTCTCTACTTTTCACAGCTGATTGCTAAACAGTCATAATCACAGAACTTTTTTTTAAAAACCATAAACTCTGTATTTGGTCCCCTGCTCAGCCAGACAGCTCAGTCTCCCCTGAGAGATGTGAGGCATTTCTTAACTACCTCTACAACAAACTAGTGAAGATTTGGCAACACACTAATACAGGATTCACAGAGCCTGATGACGACCCCTGCCCATCTTCAGCAGTAATTCCCTAGTAGTTCCTATTTGGTTTTCAAAAGCACTATTTCAGCCAGTTGGTTTTATTTTATTTTATTATTTTTATTTTACAGCCACTGTTCTGTGCCTACTGTTTTGACCTGTGACTCAGTGTCTCTGATTTGTGACATATAAGTATGTATTTGAGAACTGATCATTTTCTTGCTACAACATACCAGTTTCAGTCTATTCTCATCACAGGGTGTCAAATAATGACACTGTGTCAAGTAACTTTTGCATCCCAGATGCTAAATGTTCCCTTTGGCATCTATATGACCAAAGCATCAACCTACTCGGCTCAGTATTTGATGCCGCAGGCAGCAGCTCCACTTGTTCATTTACAATTAAATACAGTAGGAAATGAAGGGAGAACATCTGTATCAGGAGGAGACTGAGGTGGAACCTTAATGATTCCTCACTTTATATATTTGATATGAGCTTTGACAACGTGTTTCTGGTGGGTCATAAAGCATCAGAGGTGCTTGACTCCAGTGTGAAACATTATGCTTTTTATTGATGAGTTACGTTTAACCCAAGCCATAATCGGTTCCTAAACCTAAACGTGTGGTTTCTGTGCCTAAACCTTAACCACATCTTCTTTGCACATACAGCCAAGCTATTCACTGACCCTTTGGGATGAGATGAGAACATGTTGCCAATTAATGTAGTAATGAGAAAAGTTTCTTCTTTTAAAAGGATGTGTTGTTTTTGTGTGGAAACATGAAACTTGTTCCAAATAACAACATAAAATGTCATTATAACATGAAAAATACTCACTATGACAAGAAAAGGAGCTTGTTAAAACAATAACACTTTTGGTCTGGATATTTAAAATTTAATTTTTACTATTATTAATTAAGGATATAAAAAATATTTACATTGGTGCTCTGTATTTACAGGTCACTACCAGTGAGTGTAGAAGAATTTTAAGTAATACAAATGTATTTACATTTAAACTCTATGCTGCAAAGAACCTGTTGTGAAAATACTGGTGTTGTGTACAGTTGGTGGGTTTAATGCAACCCTGGGCAATGTCGCCTGTTGGTCCAGAGACTTAAAAAAACATTGCTGTTATAACAAACTTATGACAAAACAATCTCCTTGTAATGAGTTATGATCTCCATGTAATTAAAAAAAACTGAGAACCCCTGATGAAATAGTTCTTATAACAAGTTCAAAGCAGTGTTGCCACCATGGTGCAAGAACAAATCAGTATGCCCCTCAGCCATCAGTGTAGTTGGTAAAATTCTGGTCACCTTACATACATGAACTTAATCCATAGTCCCCATACCAATCCAAGATCCAATAGCATCTTAATAATTCCAGAACAACCGTATTTGCCACATGCCATGAGCATCAAATGTCATTCCTCATTTGGCCTATGTCATAACCCATAACCTTAATGATTCCTCACTTTATAGATTTGATATGAGCTTTGACAACGTGTTTCAGATGTGCAACGTACACTCAGCCCTACAACCGTTGCCCAGTGTCACCCTTTCGAAGCAGAAGGTTGTTGTCATTTCCAATTGTGGTTGAGGTTTGGTGTAAGAAGGAGACCAGGATAAACATATTAACTGTGTGAAGAAGGGAACCTTTGGTTGCTTAATAAGAAACTTAAGTGCTGTTGTGTCAAACATGGGTAGAAACGTTATGTATTATGGAGGGATGATTGTTTTTAGGCCTTTATTCCAACCATATGCTATTTGATCAGTTGATTTCAAATGATTTCTGCCTTTAATTAATTACATTCATGTTCAACTATTCTGCATGACATTCTGCATTTGTGCAGCCCCTATTTGGAATCAGTGCTGCATTCAGTACTTTCAACCTGACTCTTTCTCTGCATAGGTTACGAATGTGAGCAAGTACATATGAAAATTCATATGTACTTGGATCAATAAGATAGATAAATAAATAAATTTATTTTAAAGGTATTCATCTACTTAAAAATTATGATTATTGTGTTTTCCTGTCAGGAGGTAGGACTTATGAGCTATACTGCAACCAGCCACGATAGCTTCGCTTCTGGGAGCTGTCATGGCATCCAGATTTTCTACAGTTGAAGACCACAACATACCATCCCCGCACTTCCTGGTAGTCACCATTTTACTATTGTGACTGTGCACTTAATGTGATAAAAGAAGGAAGCTTCGAAATTTTGTCCACCATAATTATGTCACAGCAGAGATTACTGTTTTCTGCAAATACTTATGATCTGCTTGTTCATGATCTTAAATCTGCTGCAAAACAATTCAGCATCATGCTTGAGCCTTATCTGAAATTTAAACATAAAGTTCAATTTATCCAAATAAATGCAAATAAAAATTAATGATTTAAAAGCCTGTGTTCTCATTTGTTTTCTAAAATAATAATAATAATAATTCTGATAAAAATCTGATATGTTCTTGTTTTGTGTGTATTTATTCTCTCATTTTTGCCTCTCTCTCTCTGTTAGGACACTGGTTTTCAGTGTGCACACCCTTTTCCTATTTGGTCGCTGTCTTCATCTCCTTCTCCTTATCCACCCTCCACTTCTACTCTTCATCCTACTTTCCTTCCCCCTCTATCTGCCAAGCAGGTTTGATGGCCTCCCTGACCTCCAGAGCCTTTCTGAGTTGTAATCCCTCTGGCCTATTTGGGCCAATCCTCTTGCTCCTGTAATCTCCTGGTGCCAGGATACCTGCACATATTACAGCTTCAACCTTTAGCATCTGTCCACTCTGTCACCTACTCTATCACAATATTCTCTCTTACATACTCCTTCTGGTACTGACATCACTTCTGACCACCTTCCCACAGTCAAACCTTCACGAAATGTGGCACAGTTTGCAGGATTTCCAGGTTTTGGAAACAGTGGACTAACACTGTAGGTGGCGCTACAGTCACAGTGTAGCATTATATGCCTAAAAGATTTATTACACCTACACATTTGTTATTAATTCATAAATATTTATGTAAAATTATAAAGGCTAGGGTAGCTGTAGTTTATAAATTAGTTTATGATTTCATACTTGACTGAGGGTTTCTTCTTTACATACATATATGTTGCATTTACAGACATTATGATCAAAAGTTATATGAGTGCATCAGCTTCATACTGTACACTGTGGCTGTAATCAATTCTATCACTGCATTTTTGTATTCAATAATTTTAAAGTTTTATTTAAGAGTAACTTCAAAATAAGAAAAGGTTTTGTGGTTTAATATGCAGGTTGTATCATGCAACATGAATGCATACATATCTTAGAATAACAGGAACATTTCAAGCTGACATAAATCTGGTTTGTAATTTTGCAACGCTTCACTTGAAGTTCTCCTGTTTAGCAATTACAAACTCTAAGGGATTCAGACCCATAATTTATTACTTTGTAGAAGCACTTGCTTCCAGTCTTCTTTGCACACTTGGATTCGGGGAGTTTATCCCATTATTCATGGCAGATCCTCTCAAGTGCTTTCAGATTGGATGGGAAGTGTGCGTGAACTGCCATCTTCACATCTCACCATAGATGTTCTCTGGGGTTTAAGTCTGGGCTTTGGCAGAGCCACTCAAGGACTTTCAGACACTTGTCCTGAAGCCACCCCGGTGTTGTCTTGGCTGTATGCTTCAGGTGACTGTCATGCTGAAAGGTGAACTGCTGGCCCAGTTTCAGGTCTCTCCACTCTGCAGCAGGTTCTCTTCAAGAACCTTTGTATTTGGCTGCATTCATCCTCCCCTCAATTCTGACCACCCCTCCTGAATAACCAGTGTAATTATGCACCCACACAGACACCAAGAACTCTTTACCACTTTTAAATAAAATCCCCACTTTTGAACAATTTGGCACATGACTCAAGCCCACTGTTTGATATTTATTTGGTCTTTTGTGACCACATTATGCACCTCCACTTATACACAGGCAGATACCAATGAGGTTCTTTCTACTGATCTTGCCACTGTTTGCTCTGTTTGATCAGGCATGACTGAGAAACCGGGGCACATCTGATAGAAAGGGCTAGTAAAATCTACCAAATAAAAACATTATTATTTGTCTCCAAAGCCACACTTTATACAATAAATGAGCCAATCATACATCAGCTGCCAGTAATTACAATTTCAGTTGGCTGAGAGTCGCTCCAGCCCCCTGCAACTCTCTACAGTATAAGCAGTATAGATAATCACTTGTGGTTTCTCAGTATTGTGAAAATTCATTGGAAACTAACCAACCCCTTAACATTATTGAGCGTGACAAACCACCCTGAACTGGCCTCCATCTGTCTGAGTCATATATAGTGGGAGCACAACCGCCTTAATAAGCACCTCTCAAAAACCACTTGTTCTTGTAGCAGCATCTCTGAGAGCACCGGAGATAGACATTCCTGGGACATTCAAATTCAGTGAAGTGAGGGTCCTCATGGCTCCTCTACACTATCTAAGAAGGGATGAAATGCTAGCACTAATCATTTCAGTCAGTAAGCATGCATCAGGTATTTGTGAGGTACACTAATTATTTTGTGTATTTACATTCTTCAGTAACTCTTCCTGTGTAACCTGTTGCTTTCATGAAAACACAATTAAATGCTAACATCAAACAAGTGAGCACACACAAATCTCTCATTACAAATTACAACTTGACACAGCCTTCAGTACTTTAACATTTCATTACAGTGATGAAATTAAATGACCAAACAAACTGTCCTTTAACGTAGACAACAATAACTGTTATTTCTACTCACCCCATTTGAACATCATCATTGTCAGCAGCACTGTCTTTAGATTCAGGTGAAGTTTTTCCAGCTCCATGTTAAACCTCTCAAATGGCTCCGTATAAGATCACAAGGTAGTGTGTAGAAAAAAAGGAAGCGAGAAGCCCTAAAGCACTAACATGCTGCTATGTGATGGGAAAAGCTCCTCACTATGTTGTAGTTGCCCAGTGTTTAAAGGCTGGCATGCTACACTCTGCCCATGCTTGGCTACTCATGAACGCAGCACTGGACTCTAACAGTCAGCCCTCCCTTCTCTGAACTCAGTGTAATCAGCCATGAGAGCAGCGAGACAACAGCAAAACATGAGCTGGATTAAGATCTGCTGGTACTGGTGCTCATTCTCTGAGCCCTGATTTAAAAATGAGACTTTAAGGGACGGCATAAAAACAAGAAACTGCAAAAGGAGAAACAAAAAATAATCAAAAGAAAGTATATTAACATGAAGCAAGAACTACAAAGATGAGATCCTGCATAAAAGAAGAATCTTAATCTCTAACATTTTCAGTTAAATGACACATCTTGGTTTTAGTGATGGTGATGATTATGCCTTTCTTAGTTTTGTTTGAACAAACAACTGAGATCTTATGATTCTGTTCAGTTGTTTGCATGGCAAATGATGCCATTTTCAGTTACAGGGAGTTATTAGTGACTCTTAACATTACAATTTCAGTTATTGGCAGTAACTTTGAACAGCTAAGCCTAAACTAACTTAAGAGCTTTGTTTGATGATATTATTCCAAAATTTCCCAGAATAAAAACATGTTGGCTAATTCAGAATAAAATAAGTAGCATTTGTAATATTTGTACATTTAACCACAACACTGCTGGTTCATTTATAGCTGAGAACTTTTATGCACACCTTACCCCCTCATTCTCTGGTCTAATATGTCTCAGAGTCTTGAAAGATGGACAAATAGCCATAGCATCTCTAATGTTACCATGAATAAGTCAAAAATCAAATGTTCAGTCATTGGTAATTATAGATGTATGTGCACAGCTCTACTGTGTGATTTTATCTGCTGGCTGTAACATTTGTAGCACATGATTGATTGGGACACGTGCACGGTATTTTGTGTTGTTTTGTCAACAGGTCTTCCAACCGACTGTATATGACCCATATGATCATCATACAACCCATGGCAGTGTTTCATTATACTGTATAGTGTTCCTTTAGTAGCAGGGGGAATTGCAACAATTCTGCCAAAATTAATGACAACATACATCCAACTATAAGCCTAGACAGACTTTTGTCTGCTAAGTAACCTGTCATCTGTCATCTTGAAAACTGCCATAAATATGCTGTTATGATCATGAAACCATCACAGTTTGATTAAGTTTTGCCATACAAACTACATGGTTAGGTATAGGCACAAAAACTACTTATTTACATTTAGGGGAGAAAACTTACTTGGTCACGTTTAGGAACAAAAACTTGAAAAACACAAACCACACATAGGAACTGCTGGCTTTGCTGAGGGAAACTCCGTTGTGTTGTGTACCTAGCCATCCAGCACTTACCCCTTTGCTTGTGTTATAATTATTACAATCACTAGATGTCACTAAAATAGAACATGTAACAGTTTGTTGTAATAACCTGCTGGCACAAACTACGTACACTGCTGTATTTTACATAAGGAAAATGTCTGTTTTGTGCACCTATGCTTAGTTATTGTGTTATATTATACTGAATGGATTCGGTGTCAGATCAGTGATTCTTAACAACCAGCTACTGGACCACCCCTCCTTGCAACAGTCAGTTTAGCATTGCTCTTTCATCTCCATTCATCAACATCCTCTCACACTGATTTTTCTACATAATGACAACTGATTTGTGAAAAACGTCTTTAAAGTAGAAACATGCCTGCATTTCTCTGTAATTAGTTATGTTTTTACATTTTCTTTGAACTGTAGTGTCAGCACACTGTCAACTGCACAATTCATGCAGAAATGCCCTGAAAAATGACCAGTAATGACATCTCAGTTAAGGTACGCAATGATTTTACTAATTCAAACCAATTTTAAGTCTCTGCAGGTTGCATCTGAATGACATCTATGTCTCTGAATGACATCTATGTCTGAATGAGTACCCTGGCCACTTTTCTGTAAAGTGCTGAAGGCAGTCTTGCTAAGTGGGACTTAACATTTATGTATCACTACATGCAGTCACCTTAACAGACAGGCACTCACAAGAATACCATGATCTTGCTTGTATGGCAAATATCATGGGCATACCACGGCTCTGTCTGTCATGGTGGTGCCTATGTCTGACAGAAGGCCTGAGGAATGTTAACATCAATTAAAGCAATCTTTGTCTTTTATGTAAACTTTTTAACACTGCTGTCTTGAAAGGGCTATTTTGAAAAACAGGCTGTAGACCTCAGTGTGATCTTCCTGTTTAATAAAGGTTAAATGAATAAAAAACTGTATGACTGACAAAAAGCCACTGCTTTAACAGATTGATGAAGCCAGATGTGTTACATAACCCACATCTGAAAAGTGGCTTCCTACCACTAATCTAGGGGTAGTAAAAAATATTCACAGCTAAACAATGAGTGAAGATAGAAATAATAAGACTAGACTAAATCCACTGGAGGTCCTTGTGTGAACTAGTCAGCCCCTGGTGTTGTGTCCAGTGAATCCAGGCCAGGTTTTAGCCACTAACTCATTAGTGTCTTCAACAGATTTAGTGCGTCCCTTGTATTGTGGAGCTTAGTAGTCATCCATCAGTTCACCCCCACTCCCTAAATACCAGCTGCATCTGACACACCACAGTCTGCAGAACAGACAAACTTTGAGTCACCTGCAGTAAATGGAACATGATCCAGCTATTGTGCATTTAGGTATATTTGTGTGAATAGTGTAACAATCCAGCACTGGCTTAACAAAGTGCAAGTTGACAGTTGCTCCAGGTACCATTACCAGTTAAGTTATTGTAATACTATAGATCCTTGTTTGTGAAGGCTTGTCATATTCCAAAACAACAGTGAAAAGGTTTCAGTTCTTTAATAACTGAGGTAAACAGTAGAATTATGGTGTTTGCATTACCAAGTAGCATCTCTGCTATTTGCTGATAATGTGGTTTTGTTGGCTTCATAAGATCGTGACCTCGAGCATGCACTGAGGCAGTTTGCAGCTGAGTGTGAAGTGGCAGGGATGAGAATTAGCCTCTCCAAGTCTGAGGCCATGGTGCCTCGCCGGAAAATGGTGGACTGTTTCCTCTGCGTTGGGAGTGAGTTGCTGCCCCAAGTGAAGGAGTTAAAGTTTTTCAGGGTCTTGTTCACAAGTGAGGGTATAATTAACAGTGAGATTGACAGGTAGGTAGGGGCAGCATCAGCAGTAATGTGGACGTTTTACCAGACTGTTGTGGTGAAGAAGGAGCTGAGCGAAAAGGCAAAGCTCTCAATTTACCAGTCAATCTATGCTCCACCCCTCATCTATGGTCATGAGCTGTGAGCAATGACTGAGAGAATAAGATCTCAAATACAAGTGGCTGAAATGAGTTCCCTTCACAGGGTGGCTGGACTTTGCCTTCCCGCTGCTCCTTCAAATCAAATGGAGCCAACTGAGGTAGTTCAGGCATCTTAACAAGGGGGGCACCAGGCCGCCTCGCTTTAGAGCTTTTCCAGGCATGTCCAACTGGTAGGAGACCCCGGGGCAGACCCAGAACACATTGCAGAGAGGGATAACTGGACAACTTTGTTGAACCTGTTGCCACCATGACCCTATCTCGAATAAGAGGAAGAAAATGGATGGATGGACTATACATATTTGATCAGTCAACCCAATGTGTTTTTGCATGATGTCACACTTGATGTTTTTGGATAATGGCTCAGCTATGTTTGATGCAGTTCTCAAGATGAGATATAGATAAATACTATATCATGTAGCTGTGCTTCGCTCATTTTGCAGGGTTGAAATGGAACACAATAGTGACTGGTGACATTGGAAATACAGTAACAAAGTCTGGTACCTAATATCACTGAACATGGTTACCTTTTCCTTTGCTGAATATACTATCCGACAATGAACTAAGTATCCAAAGGGATTACACCACCCTGGTTTATGTGATCAGCATATAGGCCATGAATATCTACTGTAAAACAAGTACTTGTCCTGATATCTTGCTTCACACATAATAGTGGAAAAACAGAAGTGCCAACTGACAACAATATTAGGTTTTGGTTCAGGCAGAGCAAAATATACTCTCCAAAGAGGCAGGTTGGCTTTTACTGGAGACCACTGCAATAGACCAGTGTAAGGGAAAAACCTCAACCCAGCATGACCTGTTCCATGTAGACAAGTTGGTATTTAAAGCTGTTCATTACTGCATGACACTACCACAGACAGTACAGAGACTAACACTTTTATCCCTGCAAAGGCTTTATCCTTGAAGAACTTCCAGTTAAGTGTTTAATACTGTCTAATACTGAGTAAACATAGCAACTCAGACTGAGTCATAGATGTTCTTTCAGGACATAAATACAAATGCAAGCTGTGCTAAAATACAGCATATTACACTAAATCCCAGAAAGGGAATCGACCACCATAACAGATCTGTTGTTCTGTCCTTGAGAGGGTCCTTCCTAATCAGCAATAGATAACGATGGAGTGGTAAACCACATGAAGAGTGAGCAACAAAATTAAAAAGTGTTTTTATTAGTCATCCTTTGTCCATTGTCATCTGATAGACAACATTCCTTGCATTTATGAACTGTTTAGCCCAGATCTGTCCACTTTTTAATGTCAGCAACAGGTTTCCTGTTTACCATGATGAGCTGATCAACACATGACATTCTGGGCCATATGCAGAACAGCAAGGTGCTGTTTCATAGAAAACATTGTATTAATGAGCTTACTCTGACTTTTTTCTCATATTTTTTTTACTTTGACAGACAAATTGATAGCAGCCCCTCAAATGTAATTATAGCTTAATTATGTTATTCACTTTAAATATACTTAAAAATTGTTATTTCTAATTTATCAATAATTTGGCATTTCATAAACAGCCACAGTGATTTCCTAGTTTTAAAACCAAGGGGTCCACAAATAGGTTTATATGACCCTTGGACTAGGAAGAGTTCATGATGGAGTAAAATAGAAAACCATCTACTATTATAAGTGGAGTTTACTGGGCCAAAAGAAATGCCTCTCAAAGCTCAGTGAAAGAGTGAAAATTGCTGAGATTTTTTTCACGGGGTTGTACCTCTGTGATTTGGCAGACATAAAGAGGCGCTAGAAAGGTGCCAGAGCAGATTACATTTGGGCACAAGCCCAAAAATGTGACTTCTTAGGGAAAAAATAAACTTCAAACAGTACTTAACCTGACCCAAGCCTCTGTATTGTACAAGCGTCAGGACATTGAACATAACTGGTGCATGAGCAGGGGAAATGACATAGGGGCATCTTGTTAGACTTTTCAGTCTTTTTTATACATCATGGAATCTGTACATCATACTGTTTCAAATGACAGAAGAAAGTCTCAGCTATATATTTCATATTTATTACATTTTCATCTCTTACTTCCACTCAAGTCCTTAAACTATAGTGAGCGTTTGTGAGATGTGTATAAAACAACTTGCTTAGGTTACATCTAAAATGATAATTCACTGTTGTAACATTGTAGATAATTCATAAAACAAGGAACAGCATGCCATGGGCACTTATAGTGTACAAGGGCTCTCTTGTCTTCATTTAGAGCCCTTCATGCTCACTTTCCATAAGTCAGCATTTCTGCACACTTTACCTGAGGGAATTCCCCACAGTTCATTTTGTTGTGACATGAAGCATGGCCTACTGTACTCGGGAGGCTGGAAGCATACAAAAGGTAAAGAAATGCCATTAAACTTTTTTTGGCATTTTGCAACATTATCCCTACTGAGAAACCTCCATTCTCAGCATCCTATAGATTTTTTGTTTTGTTTGTTGATTTGTTTTATTTAAACATTTATTTAGGCATATTAATTCATCTTATTTTGTTGTTAAAATGCTTTACTCTATCTGCCTTATTACCACAAGGTCTACAGTAGCTTAAATTAATCAAAACTGGCTTTCTAAAGCAGGAGAGACCTCAAGCAAGAAAATTCTTAATATAAACTTCTCTGAAAACACTTACAGTCTATACACCTTCTTATTATTGTCACGCAATTTATTTACACACAATGATATTGAGAAAAAATATGCGTCTCCCAAATGTTCTTGTCTTGCTACTGTATTTACATGCATTTAACCAGCAGATGTCCCCATTGTGTGATAATTTAAATGTTTCAAAACAGCACACATTTTCCGAAGCAATTGGTTTAAAGCTTCGGAAAACCACGTTTCTGCCACCGTTAGTATATGATATTTTGGCCCCACTACACTTTAAAAGAAACCAATGCCCAGATCTGTTACTAGTGCTGTACAGAAATAGCGGCACTGCGGAGAGCCAGATATTAGCAAACCAAAGCCATTAAGACAGAAGAGTTTCGACATTGAGGAGTTAAAAAAAAGTCAGCAGGTCACGTGATTCATGTAGTGTCAAATAGTCCCAAAGAGTCGATAAAGATCCACTGTTTTCTGTAAAGAACAGCAGGATTTATTATCAACTACTATTCTGAAAAACGTATGCAGCCTTGCAAACTAATTGTGTTCTGTTGTTGTAGATAGCTCAGCTAAATTCAGCTAGTTAGCTAAGCACCTAATTATTAAAGTGACCCAATATTTGAGAGACATTTAGAAAGGTTGCAAAACGTTTTGGCACGTATCACTGACTTATAGTGTCAGGAGTATAATTACTGCTATTGATTTCAGCTTTGAAATATAATAGTCAACTCAATATAAGTCTATGGTGGCGCTTCCAATGATCCGTCATTATTTAAAAACGTCCTTATAGAGTCAATTGAGATGTCTCCACTCTCTTTCCTAATACACTCTGGCCCGGTCAATATACACCGTAATGACATTGTGCGCGGCACCGGAAGCTAGTTTACCAGCACTTGTTTAAGCCCGCAGTAATATCCTACAGGCAAGGTATGTCGTATGAAGAGAAAAAATACCAAGCTAGTTAACACCACAAAGCAAATGTAATCAACAAATCTGTGTAGCAAATACAATTGTATTTATTAACGATCCTTGACTTACATTTCTGAACGTGCCCATATGGGCAGAAATATGACCCTGTCCATAGTGGTTGTAAAGAAGTATTAACAAGTACGCCTACGCTGCTACCTGTAAGACAGTGCTGAGGGCAAAAAACGACCTTACAGGGCAGGATGGCGTTTCCATTATCTTTTCCTTTTCAAGCTGTCACGTCCTGCTATCCTTCTGTCCTACTATTTAGTGTTAAAAACTCTAAGTCTGAAAAATGCATAGACGACCATTCCTTTATAAACACCACTTAATTTACAGTTAACAGAATCCAGGATTCTCCTGGTGGTTAGCTAAGAAGCTACGTTACTTGGACAGTTCTTTCAAGTTGCTTGATGACGGGTTAGCTTACGACAGCTAACTTCGCTATGTGAGCCAACTAAATATCAAAGTGGCGATAAAAAAAACTCGCTGCACATCTCTGGTTGGTAAATATTTATATTTTACATTTTTAAATGTAACTCTGTTTACTAGCAAATCCTGTTCGTTTGTTGTTTGGATGTCACCAGTCGTAGCTAACGTTAACTTGCCATGTAATTGTATAGTGTTACTTAGCTAACGTGTTAAGTAACTAAAGTTGCTAACTAGTCAAGTAGCTAACCTGGACTAAGTTAATGCTAAATGCATAAGCAGATACGGTTGGTCAGAGAAGTAATTGCTTATTATAATAAACGAAACCTGTACCAGGTAATGCATGCATAGGTTTCCTGGTACTGCATTTGTAACCCAGCGATAGCTTGGTAAAATGTTTAAAATAGCTAGGTAAGTTGTCTGATGAAGAACGTACATTACAGCTCTTTTCAATTTAACAGTGAACTTGAAGTCAGCGTTCTAATAATTCAAAGACAATTGTATGGCCATAGTCTACGCCAAGCCATTTGAACATTTAATTAGGCCACACTCCTATCTAACTACATTTTAGATATCCATAATAGCTTTTTTCCTAGACGTAATTGTGTTATTACTTGTCAGAATGGTAGACTAATTTAAAGTCTCCATAATAACATTACTACTAGCAGAAATTGTACTTCAAGATATCTACGACTTTGATTTTATAGGAAAAGCTACATTTAAGAAATCAAACTCCTTCAAAAGTATATAAGCGGATGTTTTAACATTTAATAGCTAGAATAGATATATATTGCAGATATCTGTATCTTGCAAATGTATCTGTTATTATTCAACAATTGAATTGAATTGAACAAAGCTTTAAAATGTCAATTTTTTTCTATCATTGGAAATTTAATATCTTACAGTTTTTTAACAATTTTAAAAGACTGTGCTAACTTCTGTCAAACATTTGTCAGATTCAAACTCTGGCATCTCAGGATACTCATGTCTTCTTGTGTATAAATGTGCTAAAGTCAGACCTTGCATTGTTTTAGGGACTGTCAGTGTTGCAAGTCGCTCTCATGTGCCCATGGAGAAGGTGGCCTTTGAGGGGTGGCTGGAGTCAGTCTCTGCCACTTTCCTTACTCTAAATGACCAGCAGCGCAACCAGTCTCTGGACCACCTCATATCTTTAAGTGGTGCTGCCCAGCTCCGTCATTTGTCTAATGGATTGGAGACCCTGCTCAAGCGTGACTTCCTGCGCCTCCTTCCTCTGGAGCTGGCCTTCTACCTGCTGCGCTGGCTGGATCCTCAGACCCTACTCACCTGCTGCCTGGTCTGTAAGCAATGGAACAAGGTAAATGTAATGCTTCCTGACTAAGGATCAAAATTTTAATCGATTTCCATAATTGATAGTAGGGTATGTTAACAATAAGTAATCGCTTCAGTGTTAAAAATTAATTTAATACTGTGGTTTCTTTCTATAATAAAACTGTTTTTAAACACTGACCTGATACATGTTCACTGAAAAGCTAGTCAATTAGGAATTTAAAAATAGATTAAGTAAAGACAAAGTTACTTGAATTATAAATGAAACAGCTGGTGAAGGACTGTTTGTTGTCATTGATATTATTACTATTATTATTGTTGTTTTTGTATTCCCTGCAACATTCGCCTGGAGTCATTAGTGTCAGTGAAATGAATGTGGCTCTTCTTGGCATAAAAGAAGGGCAGAGAATATTTCTGCAGACCCCTCACATAGTGAAAACAAACAGTTTGAACTCCCCTCTGGACAGTGCTACAGGTCACTGTACGCCAAGACAACCAGACACAAGGACAGTTTCTTCCCCCGGACCATCACTCTGATGAACACTAAACCCATGTCTTTACTAGAGTCGATTGTCTGTTTAAACATACTTCATCAATAAATCTGATTTTGATATTTTAACCAATTAAATTAAGTGCAAATAAATAATAATTGATTAATCATTGACAAGGAAAGTGGACACAATTATGTGAATTATACCTGAAAATAGAATAGTTTCAATTAAATGAATGGGCGACTGCTTTACTGCATCCACTGTGACTGAATGGAAATGACACAGATAAATTAAAATGTGCTTATTACTGAAAGACTGCAGGCAACAATAACAAGCTGGGAGGTTGTAAATAATGTCTGAATCTCTTACAAACCACTGTATAGGTTACGTATGAGGAATGGAAGAAAAACCTTACAAATTGGCCTGTACAAACGGCACACATTCTGAAGGGCAGGAGTGGGCACTCTTGGATTAGTGGCAGCAACTTGGATGTAAATAAGTTGCAGTATGTTTTCTCCTTGTATAGCAAACTTGACATGCTGGTAGAATTTCAGCAGAACAGTCTTTGTTTAATGTTTTTAATGATGATGAAAAGATCTCTTTGGTTCTGCTGTTTGTTGGCAGGTTTACTGCTACAATATCAACAGTGGAGAACTCAGAAAATAGTATGGCTGGGACCTTATGAGTAGAGAAGTGTTTGGAGACAACCACAGTATTTGTTTTGATTTCAGTACTGCCTCCTGAGGGGTGCTGAAATTTAGCTCCCAGAACACACCTCCAAAGTGGGCGCACCATAGTGGAAACAAATCCAGAACCCATGATGAGTGTTACTTCAACTGCCATGTCCTGAGTGTTGCTGTGTATTCATTTGTCAATGAAAACAAAGATGCAACAGTTCCTCATTTCATGTGATGTAGTCCCTCATACCCACTGTACCACTGTCCAGAAGATCCTGGCAGCTGTAGCTGAGTTTAACCATGTAAAAAGTGCACTTTTTACAAAAACTGTTTTCAAACATTTGTTTCTTATTCAAACATTTCCCTTATTTTGTACATTTGAGTGTAATCAAATTAAAGTGTGGCTAATGTAGCTAACTCTAGTGAACACGAGGTTGGTCAAGAGAACAGATTTGGCCTATAAATTGCATGGGAGTCTTGAATTGATATTGTGATCTAATTTTCAGTTTCACCATGCATAGTCACTTTTTTTAATGGTATATTTTTGATGATATATATTGTTCCACAATGCATTGCTGCACTCCTAGTAACCATGGTAATCTGGTTTATTGAATTTGGATAATGAATTCAATCTTAAAATTGGGAATAATATTACACTTGAATTGGCTCTGTTGCTCACATTGGTATAAACCTGCAGTCTCACAGTAGTGTAGTTTCAGAGCAGCCTGTTCAGCTCCAGTATCCAGTCATAATAAAATTCTAATACAACGTCTAATAAAAGATTGGTGGAAAATCTTTTGTATCCTCGCTTTCAGTGAATTCCTTGTTGAGCTTTGCTTCCTTGAGCATAAACAAAGGAATCGAGACATCTTTAATGCAATTAATTTCCAGGTCATCCAAGGAACAAGATGAAATTAGATATAGCAAATGAGAAGTACCCATGGTAATTCAGAGGGATCGCAGTTGTCACCGAGCATGGCATATCAAGTATACATAACTCGTGAAAAATAGTTACTTGATATATTAAAGCCAAAGCCACAAATAAGACCACAATATTTGCAAAACAGTGCAAAGACTGTTGTGCTACAAATCAGCTTACCTTTACTGTGCATTGGATGCACTTGTCATTGTAACAAGCATTTGTCTCCTTGTAGGTGATAAACTCATGTACAGAGGTGTGGCAGGGAGTGTGTCGGGAGCTGGGCTGGAGGATTGATGAGTCCATTCAGGATGCATCACACTGGAAGGGCATCTACCTGAAGGCCAAACTGCGCATGATGCAGCTGAAAGATCAGGAGGCCTTTGAGACATCGTCCCTTATCGGCCACAGTGCTCGAGTATATGCTCTCTATTACAAGGATGGCCTCCTCTGCACAGGTACATTGTCACTCTGGTTATTTTCAGTGTGGAAAAGGTTGGGTTAGAATCAGCTTCAAGTTATATACAGGTGGTGAAAATCCTCTCATCTGTTAATGGGTCTTTAACTGTTTCATAGTTTTATACTAATCATACTTGTTTGTTTGTTGATCTCACCACCACTCAGACACAACTGTACAGCCTTTACCACAAACTTGAATTTGTAAAAAGAAAGGAATAAATAAATAAAATGAATCATCTAATACGTGCTGATCCATTCAGTCATACAGGTTCATCCAAAAACAAATCAGAACATCATGGAAAAGCTTTTTTTTTTGTAATTTAATTCAAAAAGTGAAACACTCATATTCTAGATGCATTACACATAAAGTGAAATAACGTTTATTGAATATTTCATTTTGAGTTTGGGTAAATTACTATTCATGCAGTATAAATAACGTGTATGTCTCGGTCTAGTTCAGTATACAACCGTTTAGATAGAAACTACTGTGTTAAAGAGGCGTGTCAGAGCTTATAGCAGTAACACTGTCCTCTTCTTTTTCAGGTTCTGATGACCTCTCTGCCAAATTGTGGGATGTACGCACTGGACAGTGCATTTGTGGAATTCAGACACACACCTGCGCTACAGTGAAATTTGATGAACAGAAGTTGGTGACTGGGTCCTTCGACAATACTATTGCAAGCTGGGAGTGGAGCACAGGGGCTAAAATCCAACAGTTCCGTGGCCACACAGGAGCAGGTTGGTTTATATGTTCAGCTAATATCTCCTGAATTATTTACAGTAATAAGTGAAAACAAGCTAAACTTAATTTTTATAGTGCATCTCATTCCAAGGTATGTGGCAGTGTATAGAGGTACAGTATGTACATTTACATATGCATACAAAAATTGAAGTCAACAGAATTAAATGAAAGGGACAATGATGTTATTCCAGCAGCACAGACCATAAACTCAACAAACTTTGGTTTGTGTGGCTGCCGTAATTTAAAATGTATCATTTGTAAACCTGAAAAGCAAAATGTGTGGGTGAATTATGCAAAATTTGTCAGAAGCCATTTATTTCCCAGTTTTAAAAAAATACACATTGATTTGATATTGTTGTTTCATCAATATCCCCTTTTTGCTAAGGATTAATAAACACTTGATTGTGTGCACATTCTGTATCTCCTCAGTCTTCAGTGTGGACTATAATGATGAGCTGGATGTTCTGGTCAGTGGCTCTGCAGATTTCACTGTGAAGATCTGGGCATTGTCTGCTGGTGCCTGTCTCAACACTCTGACTGGACACACTGAGTGGGTCACCAAGGTCAGCTCACCTTAACTAGTCAGGATTTTAGGTTAAGAATAAATGCATTGTTTGTTGTCTATGCATTTTTTTTCTATATCTGTAAATATGTTAATATGGTTTAATCAAGATGGAAATGTCAGAAGTTTGATGCCTGCGTAGTGTTTTATTTATCCAGCATAGATAAAACCTAGTTCAACCTCGAAATGTTTGATCTCTTTTGAAACATGTATCTTGTGTTATCTCCTATCAGGTGATACTGCAGAAAAGTGAAGTAGAATCTATGATGCACAGCCCTGGTGATTATATTCTGTTAAGTGCTGATAAATATGAAATCAAGGTAATGCTCACTTCTGCTGCTGTTTCTTTTGTAAAGGAAATAATGTGAAGCTTTTATCACAGTTTTGGTGATATTGTCATGTGAGCCGCTATTACCCCAAGAGTCCATAAGGTGGCACTGTTCCTTCTGCAGGTCTGGCCTTTAGGCAGAGAAATCAACTGCAAGTGCTTGAAGACCCTGTCAGTGTCAGAAGACCACAGCATCAGCCTTCAGCCTCGCCTGCAGTTTGATGGACGTTACATCGTCTGTAGCTCTGACCTTGGAGTTTACCAGTGGGACTTTGCCAGTTTTGAGATTCTCAGGTAAATTTGTAAACATGACAAAATATGTCTCACTGGGATTATTAAGTAAAGAAACGTATTCTGTAGCTGGTGTGTATTATGTAAGATGTGTGTCTCTAGCAGGAAGTATAACAGTACAGTCTGAACGTCACTGAATCATAAGACGCGTAGTTCTTGTTTGAGGTTAGGTCACAGGTAAGTGAGTGAGTAAAAAGCAGTGACACTTCTGGTGGTGATAAACGGTGTAGACGGTGGGGGATGCTGGAGCAATGTACTGTCAGAGTTGTAACTAAGCTAATATTTGTATAGAATATATTAGCTAATGTACATGTCAGAGCCTTAACTAACTTAGTATTATGGTGCATCATATTATCATCAGTCACACCCAAGTGCCTTATTTTGTTCTGCTCCTTGGCGTTATTGATGAGGTCTAACTGCCACCTAAAACTGCACTACCTGCTATCAGTCAGACATCATGTTTAGTCCTTCTGGTTGTTTCTGAAAAGACACAGTGAGCATGAAATGTACCAGAACCAAAGGGCAACAATGTATCATTTTGATTTGTAACATCTGAGTACTGTGTGTTGAGCTGATTAGAGCATATTAATAAAAATGCTTTGCTGATGCCTAACATTGTTCAGTTATGTATTGGCATTAGCCCCTTATAAAACAACAGCTATGAGAACAAGTTCTCATTTTTCATCACAGTTTGCTTAGAATCAAGGATGTGGACACGAGATCTTGTTTATATTCTATGATGAATCCACTAACACTCTTTATCCGTCATGTTTTGCTCTTCCCAGGGTGATAAAAATGCAGGACCCAGCCAACCTGTCTCTACTCAGCTTTGGCGAGGTGTTTGCGCTCCTTTTCGACAACCACTTCTTGTATGTGATGGACCTGAGGACAGAGGCTGTCTCAGGCCGCTGGCCTCTACCTGCATACAGAAAATCCAAACGAGGGTCCAGTTTTCTGGCCGGTGTCACTTCCTGGCTTAATGGCCTGGATGGGGGTAATGACTCTGGACTAGTGTTTGCCACCAGCATGCCCGACCATAGCATTCACTTAGTATTGTGGAAGGAGAACGGATAGAAAAGAACAAGGACGCCAAACCCTAGACTGCTAGGATATGAGCTGCCATCACTTGTGCTCTGGAATATATGAACCTTAACACTCAAGACAGACGCATGGACCAAAGCATTATGTTTTTTAATCTGCTTCTTCTGCAGCCTAAAGCCCTCCTCTCAACAAACATTCACAGATGGAAATGGGAGGCAAACTAAGATGATGAAACTGTAACTGTTGTGCTATACAAAGTGCTGGATTAGCACGTCTTGATTTCTGCAGAAGCCTCTGATTAGTCTTCTGATTTCGACAAATACAGAAAGAAAATGGACTTCTTGAAGCCCAAGATGCATCAGTGACAACTAAACAAATCATCAAAGGTTCTAAGATAAACATAACCATATAAATTCTCCTTTAATTGACTGTCAGTGTTAATGTTTTGGCAGATTTGCTCTTTGAGCAGTTTAGCATTGTGCAGTGAGAATATTTGTAGCCAAACTTTAATCCATAATTTAGTAATAGGATGCAACTTTTGCCACTAACCTTTTCTTACCAGGAAACGACGGTCAGAAGTGCTGTAGTTGGAGCTTGTCTACTGACAAGATGGTCACTGAGCTGATTTGCCAATTTATTGGTTTCCTTGAAGAAAAGCAGGGTTGCCTTAAACACAGTCACTGTAAATAATGGAGAACATCTCCTCTGATATAAGATTGTGACATCAAGGACGATATTCCCCAAGATTTTTACAGACTATCCCCGAGGAAGCTGTATACCGAGTTGTATGGTGAAAAGTGGCTTGGTACACTGTTGTGTACCACGTAAAACATTGTGAGGTTTCATGTAAGTCCACTAAATATACTTTTCTAAGGGATGTCTGGTTTAAATGTCAGCTTGAGAAATGTGATGTGCCTTTTCAGTTCATTTGATGTTACAGACTAGATAACTCCAGCACATTGCAGTAAATTGATGACTGCATTGTAAAATTTTTATGTTGACTTTTTCATATTTTACTGTGCTCTAACAGTCTAAGATGTCTGTAATTTTATAGCTATCTACAAGACTTGACTTGCTTAGTGAACTGCTTTGATAAACCACTGACCGTCTCAAACATCAGGTCTATATTAAAGGCTTCAGTGCATCACACAGCAGCAGGGGGTGACTTGGCACTTAGCTCTGTGCAAAATTACTATTTTACACTTACATTTAATTAGATGGTTTTCTTGTCACTATTAAACAATATGAAACCATGCCATTTTTGTTCTGCATGCATTTTAACATTTTGTCTCTGTTTGGTTTTATGTTTGTACAAAACTGAAACTTTAACCCAGATTATTGACTGTCTTCCTTTGCCTTGGCAGGCCACAGAACAGAACGGATTGAAATGAATTGTACCACACCTCATTTAGTATATTAGAATTTTTTTTTTTATACAGACCATAACCTGTTTTTCACATGGATTAACTGTACACAGCAGATGTACCTGTTCCTAGTTTAGACTTTTAAAATCTCATTAAAACACCACCAATATAACGTATTCTGTACTGCTGTCGACCGTTGCACCACATTATATCCTCTCAGAAGCACACAGTTAAAATTGAAAGTCCATTTTGTATATAAAATTATACATTGAAATAGGCCAGTTTTTGTTCATTTGCTTCATGGTTAATTGCCATTGTATTCAAGCACTGCACAGTATTTTAATTTAACAAAATCTTTGGTCACCTGCATCCCTCTACAATCAGCTTCAGTATTGCAGTCTTTCAAATAAAGTAGCTAATACACCTTGTGTCTATGTATTTGGGCACACAACCATTTCACAATGTGAGTCTGCTACCAGCAGCTTTAGGGATGGCAATGTGGGTACAAGTACCTGCAAAACTGTTGTCATTCTTATTAGCTTTGGCTGCATGTTGTGTACTAGTGCTACTAAGTGAATGTTAGTATTCTTTGTTACAGCCTGAGAGAGCTGCTAGGCATGGCTGTAGACTGAGTCTTTTTAAAACTTGTCTTTATATCAAATAAAACAGTGGAACCTGGTCCTGCGACCTTTTAGCAGCACTAAAATGTTTTGTCCAACATTGCAATGGATAAAACATCACTTGAATTACAGCAGCAAATATACTGGTTTCATACTGTGATAGTTTGATTAATTAACTATTACTTTAAAAAGAATAAATTTGTATTTATCGTTTAGAAATGCTACTTTTGACTCAAACTGGCCCTCCAAAACCCATCTGGAGACATACTAGTGACCAGGGTCAAACATTACAAGAATCATGTAGTAAACCGAGGTTAAATTAACTTTGATGATTTGTAGAAGAATACATGATGTACAAATACTGAAGATAAATTATACTTGTATATAATTCTTTCTTTTCAAGCATAACACTAGAATATACTGCAACCCCCTAGGGACTACAGTATATCCAGAGATAGAGTGGGCAGAGAGAGAGGTTCACTGACTGTACTGCACTCCAAATAGACCGGAAAATAATGAAAGTGAACTCAAATTGAACCAAAGTTTGACATACCGTCTGGCTGCTGGAGAAAGATTTTATACTGTGAAAATGTTCAGTGGTACATTTGCTGTTTGCTGAAAAGAAAACTACTGTAGCTGCTACTTATAGTCATTATTGGTAGCTCATAGCGAGGGTTTGTATCAATATGGGAGTAGACTTGGTGAGAACAGTTTGGATTTAAAGCCTTTTATGGAAACCCAGAGTGTTCAATAATAATAATACATAAAAACATTGAAATTAATAATCATATGAATAAACTGTGTAAAATAATGCTTGCACAGACAATTTGTGAAATCGTACAACAAATATTAACATTAATCTTTTGCTGCTAATGCCTTTAGACTATTATTTAAGCAACATTTTGAATGTAGCACTCTTACCTGTAACGGGGTATCTCAGTAAAAAGATGCCGACCGGTTTTGACCTCACTGGGTCTTCATCAGGGCGGAAACATACAGGTGCAAACAATTTGTTAAGTTTCCACCCTGATGAAGACCCGGTGAGGTGTGGTCCAAACTGGCCGGTGTTTTTTATTGAGCCGCACAATTAATATTAAATTTAAAAGACACTTACATTAATGGGGCATGTAAAACTAGAGGAGTTCTTTCATTTACAAGACTACACATCCAACAGGGAATAAGTTACAAGTCAACTCCAAGAGATTTCTCCTAGATTGAGCAGGTTTCACAATTAGCCTGACAACTGATAGGCTCAAGGAAAGCAAAAGAGTACTGGACAGCTAACATTATTCTTGACAATTTTCTTGCTAGCAGAAGAACACAGCTACCACCTGATTGGACAATTTGACTCTGCTCTGTTATTGGACTGTCACTGTCCAATCAGATTCAGGTGTGATTCACACTAAACTTCAGTACTCATAAATTGAGTTGTATGTGCAATTTGTTACTTTCTGTCTGTACACAGATGTTCACAAACATGCTTGTTTTGTCTTTGTGTAACATAATTTGTTTACAGATTTTATTCACACATTCAAAAACAAATCTTTCCTACACATAATCACAAAAATTGTGACCATGTACATACACTGCTATTTATACCATTAAATTGCCAGTCATTTGACTAGCAGGCAGTAATGGGTCACACTTTTTAAGATTTGTGTAATGCTGTGTGCCACCACTAGAGGGCCTTACTGTGTGCTGAGGAGGAGGAACATGAAAAAGAAAAGTTACAAGACATGTTTTAGGCTTTTAGGCAAAACTGGCTTATTCCTGTCATTTACTTTTTAAATAAACTCTAAACCACTAATATTTATTCATTTTCTACCGTTTGTTCCCTGAGCGGGGTCACGGGGGGGGCCGGAGCCAATCCCGGCTGGCAATCGGGCAAAGGCGGTACACCCTGGACAGGTTGCCAATCCATCGCAGGGCTAACACATAGACAAACAACACACACGCACATGCACTCCTATGGGCAATTTAGAGACACCAATCAACCTAAGCTGCATGTCTTTGGACTGTGGGAGGAAGCCGGAGTACCCGGAGAGAACCCACGCAAGCACGGGGAGAACATGCAAACTCCACACAGGAAGGTCCCAGGTGGAGCCCAAACCTGGAACCTTCTCGCTGTGAGGCAACGGCGCTAACCACTGTGCCACCATGCTGCCCCACTAATATTTAGTATGAATAAAAAAGGAGTTTCAAATAAATACTGTACAGATTTCTTCTTTATTACAGGCAAAAGTGTAAAGTGCTTCTCGAATATTCTTACGACAACAGTTGAGCATGCACTGCTGGTGATCGATTCTTAGTAGAACTGAGATATACTCAAAATGCATCAATCGATTTTTTTTTTGTGCATCAAAAGGACACGATGATTTATTGCCTTTGCTCTGGCCATGAGAAGCTGGGCACCATACACCTGCATCAGTCTCATCTGCTGCTATCTGCATTCTCATGGCGATTTTGCATTTATTATTTTTCCTGCTCCACCACAGGTTGATTCTCCAACTAATGATGAACACAGCACAAGACTGAATTGCAGAAAAATGGGCAGTAAATCAAGAGGTGTGGAAATTTTCAACTTCTCCACAGTGACTTTAAGCTTCTGTCTTCCTGCTCAAAACCTTCTGAAAAATGGGATCAGATGTTACTGTAGCACATCATCATGTGTCACCTCCTTCGCGATGCCCTCACCTCTGTAGAAAACAAGGGGAATATAGTGTCCAGATATAAAGAGATATACACAGGAAATGACTGAGATGTACAAACCACAGCACAGGCTGACTGTAGATATTTGTTCCACCTTTGATTTTGAATCACTGTTAAGATAAGCACATTGGGCATCACCTGCTATCACGATCTCCAGCTCAGCCAAGGAGATGTCTGTTGGGTTTATCAGGAATATGTTAACATCTCCCACCATGCACTGCTCCTCTTCTATACTGGGTTCTGCCCATCGCTGCTTATCCAAGATGATGAATGTGCACTGGCAAAAAATTAAAAAGTCAAATTAAACAGCTTTTTTATAAAATAAAAGTTCTTCAGCAATCAGCATCCACATGCATTTTCTTCAGGAAATGCATTTGTCTAGTTTAACTATATAATCAAATTACAAGTAAGTATAAAGGCCACTTATGTAGCCTACGAAGTAGAATTGGCGTAGATGCAATGCAGAACTATCAATCAAACGTAACTGTTGCCAGTACGTGTGTGAACCCAGTAGGGCAAAATGTTTTTGACAACAGTATTACCAAATGTTTAAGAATGGATTGTTAAGTTAAATGTTGGATTGCAAGTCCAAAACTATGGAACTGCACTTAATACTTAATCCACGAGTTGCGTAATGAAAGAAATAAACTGTTGCCTGATTCTAATGGAATGCAACGCCCAGCGGCTAAGTAAAAATTAGCAAAGCAACAGACGAGCGCATCTACCAGTTCACTCCAGGTTAATATACCTTAGTAGATTAAAGTACTGTACTGGACTTAAATCCTACACACCTATATAGTAGGTCATCAAACGTATAGTATTATATCATATTATGGGTTGTTTTCCTATGGAAGAACTTCTTTTCACTTAGAAAATTAACAGCATCTGCAGCTTGCCCCGAGTGGCCAACCTTGACAGTCCACAAGCTTAATGTTCACAAGGAAAATAGTACAGATGCACAACAGAAGCGATATACAGTCAACAACTTTCTGTACATAAAGTTTATTACCAATTCAGTGTCTGAAGCTGAAAAATACAGCAACACAAACAATGGCATGGTAAGAAATATCTTTTCAAAATCATCACAGACTGATAATCACGACCCTGTGGGTATCTTTTTCACAGTTACACGAAGTTTTGTACACAAAATACATGCAATGTCCCATAAAACAACCAGCTTTTCCACAGTGGAACTGGATGAAAACAAAAATACAGTATGTTTAGACCTGACATATACATACATGTATCAAAACAACTGATAGATACAAGCAAATCAGTACTTTTGGATTAAATCGATTTGTTATCACTTACTGAAAAAATGTTATGATGAGGGAGTTTATTCTGCACTTGTGATGTTTTGGTTCTTGAGTTTAACATTTGTGAGAAAAAAACTAAACTAACAACGGCTGCATTTCAAAAAACTTGCTGGCACATGCTGACATGTTAGTGAGGTGTGTGGGATTATTTGGGAACAAATACTAGAAAAAAACATTTTAAAATTGGCTACAGTTCATCTGAATAACGCAGAAGGCAGACTAAACTTTAGTGCTGCTGTTTTGATCAGTCACTCAAACATCCATCAGCACTGGTTATAAGAACTTACATTTACTTATTAACTGATTTATAGATATAAACAAAAAAAAAACTTGGAATTGTACTGCATTTCTTCAAATTGACAGTGGACAAGATGTTGCCTTGGCTTATGAAAAACCTGATGTTAATTGACTGTTTGTGTGTACATAATGGCTACCATTTATGTCCTGCATTCTTTTACAGTGTTCTAACACAATATGTCAGCTACTATGATATGTCAAGTCAGCAGCAGACTAAAACAAACAATTGCAGAACGCTTTGAAGGGAAATTAATAGAGCCACAACCTTAGCATTAGGAATGTAGTAGCTTAGTGTACAAGTGTTTAGTGTCACTGTTTAGAACAGCAGTTCCTGAAGAAGAGAATCTGGTACTGGACCATGATTTGGCCCCCAGTTTGCCTCCTAGTGGATACATATTTTAAGGCTTGATATTAGGCTTGGGTGATCTGACAATAATAAAGATGTTAGGTGATATAAAAATGTCAGCTACGAATTTGCCAAACCTTTGGCATTAGCTTGTTATATCACAAACTGGCCACTCCTACTCCTGGTAAACAGGAAAAGTTGGGAAAAAAAAAAAAAAAAAAAAGCAAGCCTATCACAGGCTTTTGTGGTCTTACCCAAATTCAGGTGAGATCAGTTTCACCTCTGTACATGTGGTATACAATTTTATATTAGCAGTCCATTCCATCTGGATTGAGTGTTTAGCCCAGCTAGAAGCAGAGGAAAACTGTCAAGCTGGTCCCATTAGTCTTAGTCAAGCCACCTCAAAATACTGATTACTACATGCACCTGTCCTGCATTGTTTATGCATCTGGTACAGAAATACAAACGTGAAAACAAGACATTGCGGTTCAGTCACAGTATTACCACATGCAGCTACCAGTTTTCAATATGAGTACCAAAATGCTACCCAAGATTTGGTACCAATACCTACAGGGAACTTTTTGTGACAGCTTCATTTTTTCCCCCCAAAAAAGCTGAAGATTTCAAATGATCAGAGATTAAGTCAACCAAATTATAAACCAGACATTTTGGCCCTTCCTTCATTTTGGTACTTTCGAAGTGTTACAGACACAAAAGTGCTATTGCCAGGTTTAAACCAACTCTGAACAGAATCCAGGTGACTCTTGGATGAAGTGACAACTACAATGCCCGGCCACATTAATAGCCACACCTGTACAATTGTATGTACTTCAATGCAACACTTCTGCCTTAACATCTGTGCTAGCTCACCAGGTTTCAGTTTTTGGTGAAATTGTCATAAATGTATAAACTCAATTACATGTATAGTGTTGAGGTCATAGTTAAAGGTGGACTACATTACAATCAGAAGTGTTTCTAATATTCTGACCCTCTCATGTATAGGTAGCTGGGGAGGACCAAAATATAGAGATTGTACAGGTGTGACTTAACGTGGCAGGGCAGTGTACCTCACTGGTAAATGAAATAGCCTTCCCCCCTTATGGTCAGGGTTTCATTTCAGTCAGCTGTGGTGGAATATAAGGGCAGGACAACGTGAGATACATCAGTGCATTAATATCTTCGGACTGCCTGTACCGTACGTCTATATTGGACACAAACAGAGGAAATTAACACTGAACTCTACATCTGATCCTGGCCATGATATTGAACAAGCAAAACAATCAAAAATGTTATTCTTCCATTGACATTCAAGCACTGCAGACAACCTTGTTAAGCTGAACCACAATAATAAAAAAAATACCAAATAATAAACATGGTCTTTAATAAAGGACCCTAACATAGTTTGAAAGTTATCTTTCCAGGCATTGGTTTCTATTGAAAATCATTTAGCAGACGCTTGAAACTTGCATGGGTTGTGTAATGTATTACATGAAATCTGAAATAGTTTCTGCAAACTTCAGAACACTATTGCATTGTAACACAGCGCAAGTACAAAGTGAGAATTCTAATGTAGTTCATAACATCACACTGACAAAAATTAATGCAGACTTGATGTAGAGCCTACTTTTTTAAGACCAAGTCTAATGAAGAGACTCATTTAACCTTTGTATAGTCTTTCTATATCATTTTGATAGTCATCATAACAACCTGACAGATCATACTGGTTTTTAGGATTTATTTACCTTCTGTTTTATGATTTTATACAAAATTATTGATTGTGGTGCTTCATTTTCTAATTGATCCTCTTACTTATAATTGCATTTGTGTATTTATCACCCTGTAAAGCACATTTAACTTTGCTTTTAAATGTGCTCTGTGAATAAATAGACTTGACAATACAATATTGAAATGTGAAAATTAAAAAAATTGTCAATTTATCAGCCCTTACTTTTTCAATAAGGGAATTATCTATTAATTTTTTTAAAGAAAGATATGTATATCTGTGTGTAAATAAACTAAGAGACTACAGTAATGCAAGAGGCTCTGTGCTGATGTTTTGAGCTGAAGGTCAACATTATCCTGCTAGCATGCCCACAATGACAATGCTAACATGCTGATGTTAAGAAGGTCCAATGTTTACCATGTTTAGTATGTTAGCATTCTAACATGCTAAATAGGATGAAGCGCAAAGAATACCTGATGATAATGTGAGGGTCGTTAGTTTAGCAGGTATTTAATCATAAACCAAAGTACTGGATAAAATAAAATAAATATAAAAACTTGACCTGCTGGTGGCACTAGTGGAAAAATCTGAGGATTGCCAGAGACAGTAGGATTTATCCTCTGGGGACTGTGAATATCTGTGCAAAATTTCATGGCCACATGAGAAAAAAAAAAAGTCTTGTCAATGCTCTCTGCTGGACAAACTACACAAGGTTTCTAAAGCGCCTCAATCATATCTTTGCATTTCTCTGGTGACCCTGTCATTCTTTCTCTAATGCCCAGTGTGACAGATTACAAGATTAAAGGTGATTAAAGCATGTTCCAGGAGTCTGCTAAGAAATTCTCTGCAGAACATTAATGGCAACCACTCAATGAGTAGTGTAGTAGTAACATCAAATTTCAGTTTCTTCAGTGCAGCAGTATGATTTGTACAATGATAATGATGTAAAGCATATGTAATTTGTAATAAATAGGCTTAAACAAACATTATCACTGCAGTGGTTCCATAGAATAGAGCCTTCATGACTGCAGTCATCTACAGACAAACTAATACTGGAGAAAGGACAATACATAAAAACAAAGAATATTAAACATAACATTTTTAACATCAATATTTTTGCCACCATAATGACTGATATCATAAATAAGTGACATTTGCCATGATTTATAACAGGGAAACAGAAATATGGAAACTATTAGAAACTCTTTGATTAAAATTTTATTCTTAGAGGATAATTCTTGTTTATTAAAATCTGTGGGGCTGAGCAACATGGCAGTTTGTTGTAAATAAACCAACACCTTTGTCACAATATTTAAAACCACTTTATTTTGAGATCAAACTGAAAGTGCACCTAAAATGTGCCAATAATCCCGATTTGAAACAAAAGTGTCTGCAATAGAGTACAACAGGCCAAATATGAAGCAGGAAGTAGATATGTAAACTAATAATTTGAGTAATAATTTGGCTTTGTTTTCACTTTCTAATAGTTGAATAAGGTTTGTTTTTATCCTAACTGCTCATATTTCTGACCTGCCAGCCTTCCTTTTTGTGACATTGCCATTTCCCATCCTTCCACTTTCTGCCACTTGCATATCTGGGCCTGAGTTGTGGTGGCAGGACATTTAAAACAGTCTGCATACTTTTTTATCCAAACTGTTCTTACTAGAAAATTCCAGAGCAATCTTTCTAACAGGTGAGACCTTCTTATGGTTGGACAGAAACCACTTACAATGCCTTGCAAAAGTATTCATAAGGGGTATGAATACTTTTGCAAGGCATTGTATACCAGGATTCCACCACGATCAGAAAGAGTCAGTGTGTTTTCCTAATAATATTATCCAATACATGTAAATTAGGATTACAGTGACACAATCTCACAGTACAGCTGCTTCTTTAACCATTACATGCAGGTGATCCTCTTGAGAGAAGTACCCTGCACCATGACTGAAACAAGCTGGGCTCCTATGACTTAGGCAAAAGTGACAATATTTTCAGTCTCATGTGAAGCCCAACAATAGGCTTTCCAACTTGACTACATCAAAAGGAGCCAATGTCAGACAGATCAACATCAGAAACAACATGGAATAGAAATAAAAGTGGATATCTATACAACGTTATATATCGGTTCAGACATGCACCACAAACATTGCACAAACATACCTATATCCCATCTTATGCACAAAGAATTGTGCATAAGATGGGGTATAGGGATCACACCAATGTAGCTTCCATACAGTCTAAATTGTTAAAATTTTTTGATTTAGTGGGACACAAGACTGCTGTGTTTATGTATAAAGCCAGGAACAATTTATTACCTGGTGGAATTCAAAAACTATTTAATGAAAGGGAAGGGGGATACAATTTAAGGGGTCAGTTAAATTTAAAAATTCATGCTATACGTACAACCAAAAAAAAGATTTTGTATTTCCATAAGTGGGGCAAAACTATGGAATAATTTAAGTGTGGACATAAAAAATAGTAATAGAATTGAACAGTATGTAAGTATGTATTTTTTAGTATATCACTAGCGTGGTGTAGAATTTAATTATCTATATAGTAATACTGCTTGCAAACCAATAATGGTAAGATGATGTTATGGGGTAGGACTGGATAAGTCTAACTTCTTCCTACTCCGTTCAAGCATGTACTAGATATAAGCAAATTGATAATATATTTGTGGATATGTGTGGAATTATGTGTGTTGACATATTGACTGTCGTTACATGTTTGAAAGAATAAATCAAATCAAATCAATCAAAATCAAACATCAGTGATGTTTGCGGTGCATGTCTGAAATTACTCTGGAGAAGGGCAACCATATGTGAATAAGATACAAGTTGTAATAAAGCAGAATTATCCTTTAAGTTCAACATAACATTTTGCTTGTGAAGCACATTATGTAATAATGCTGATGGAGTCTTCCCTTATCCCAGCATCCTTCAGTGTGAGATCAGGAGTCAAACCAAGTTTTAGGGTGGCTTCCCACCAACAGTCTCTCTGAGGAGCAGCTTCCTGCTGCTGGTGATCAAAGATAGTCAATCATACTGTTTACCTTTGATGGCCAATTGTCAAAAATAAGCTCTTTTACACATAAATACAGTATTTACACAAACAATTGTTGATAGTTTGGTACCTCATTGTAAATTGCTTTAAATTCACTCAGCCAGCTGCCTTGGCTGACTGTTTTTCCCCATTATTGATTGTAGCCGTCACCTTGTTCAGTACCATTTCCATGGTGTTGGACAAAGTTTGATTTGTTCTGTAGAAAATAGTAATCGGTGCTATTTGTAAACCTCAGTATGTACATCTGCAAACACCTTTTACAAGAGGCCTACCAACTGAGGTAGCAAGGAATCAAAAGGTGAACTGATCCAGAGGCGCTTCCTCATTTGACCAACACCAGGGCTTAAAGTGAAAATCATGGCTCCAATTTTTTTTGTATTTTTCTCGATTACAAAGTGTCTTATTTTGGAACAAATTCCAGTCCAGCTGTATGTTACAGGGCTGTCACCGTCTGTCCTTTTTGCTGCAACACAGCATGACCTTCAACTGTGATCATATTTTTCATCCTCAATACTTTCCGGATAGCTCCAAGATCATGAGTCGGCATGCGCACTGACGTTGATGCCCTCTCTCCCACCTCGGTATAATGTTGAAATGCAGAAAAACCTAAATGTTTTACCCTATTTACAACAAAACAAGTAAGCGTTCATTTAGTCTTAGTTGCCTTACAACAGCAGTTTCATAAATTTAATCACTGAACAACAGGGGCATCTTCATTTGAAGGGCATATCAGCCTGATCTGCAAAGCAAAGATCAACATCAGTCAGCTAACAGATGCCTAAATTTATGCACTGATGCAACTTTTCACCCAAACAGAAACCCAACATGGGCCAAAAACAATTTGCTTACTCACATGTACATAGTAGCATAATGAATGACAGGGAACAAGGAAAGTTAGAGAAAAAAAAACAAAGGGGTAACCTCACCAAAGTCTTCCACTCACTAAAAAAAAATTTTTTTTTTTAAGAATTTACATTACACAGTCACAGTGAAGAAGACAGCAGGTGTCAGGGAGCTTCTACAGTGTCAGATGCTTCTTGACTGTCCCATTTCAGTAGATACCAATATATATCATTGTATTCCATCATTTAGTTTATGCTTCCCAAACAAATGTGTTTGGCACAATAATGTCCCAAGTAAGGTCTGCTCTCATTCAAATGACATGAGGTTTGCTGGTATCTGTTGAAAGAACAGAACAGATGCTTAGCACAAATAATACAGTCAAAGGTGTAGTAATACATGGAGCCACTGGTGGGTCTCACTCTCTGTGTATAGCTTGAATGGATTTTATTTTTGCCCACTTTACGACTTGTCCAACAAGTTGATGACATACCAATTCAACACTGATAAATTATTGTTATAAAGTTTTTATGGTGAATGCTTTAGCAAACCTATATACACATACACATCAGCATTAGCATCAATTTGGAGTCATGCATCTGGTGATATGAGTAATGTAGGTCTAATATTCACTCTCCTATTAGCTCTGATTTTGGTCTCCACCAACTCCTGAGGCAAATATCAGTCTCGTTCACCAGCTGCTCTCTAACTGTGTCTGTCTGTTAAGCAGGTAGTGTACAGTGGGTTTATCAGATCTTTTTCACTGCAAACAGCTACAGTACCTATGGCTGGAAATCAGGTGGATGACTGAACCAAAACATCACAGTTACAGAAAATAAAACCAAAACAACGAGCTGAAAAACACCAAAACATGGAACAGAGCTCAGGTGGAACAGCAATCAATAATATGTAAATCAAAAAGATTCAAGTATTTAAATACTGCATGGTTCATGGTTAAACTATAATTAGATTTAAGGTGCTGCTGTTAATTTACCTGTCAAAGTAAAAAAAAAAAAGGTAAAAAGCATCAAGAGTACTGCTCTGCATTTGGCATAGAGCTGGGCAGCACCACTTACAGATATGGGGCCCTATTCTGAGGACCCATGGCGTCTGATCAAGATATACTGGCACAAGTGGTGTTTGGGTGTGTCCATGTTCAGTTCGGTAATTTGATAATAAAAAACAGTTCAAGCACCAGTTCGAGTAGCAAAAGGGCTGTACTGAGGAAACACAGCATGGCATGCATTTAAATCTAATGCCTCAGTTTATGACGCTATAACACAGTGGTGAAAGATTTCTGTTCATTCTGTTTCTAATGATTTAGGAATTTAAGGTTAGTGATTTGCTGACCATAAATCATATACTTTATCTTTCTAGTTCTATTTATCTGTCTCTTAAGGAAGAAGTGTCTTCTGACCAGAGCAGACCCATGGTCCAAACAGAAGAGTAGGTGTGCTGTGCATACCTGAGGTCTACTGCTCCTGCAAGCTTCTTCCAGGTTTTTGTGCCAGATAATCGCTGAAAATCTGGATCCTGTCTGGAACTTGTAAACATTGCCTGTGTAAGTGACACAAATTGCTCTGTGTGATTATTTCAATTGAAATAAAGCAAAAACAAAAACACAAGGTGCACCAGTGATGTGATGCTGACCTTTATCTGGGTCATTGAGCTGGAAAATATTGGGTCTGGCTGGGTCATCTGGCAGCACCACCATCCAACCAGTTACACACACCTTCTTACAGGGGCTGGACTTGTACTGTGGCATACACAGGATTAGAATGGACCAAACTGAGAGCAAAGATGTGAAAACTAAACACATTAAAGCACTTATAATCACCATAAAATGAAAAAAAAAAAGCTTTTCTCCACTCCAGAAAAGAAATCAAAGCAGATCCCTCCAGGGAAGGGAATGGGTGCAATTCAATACTTAGCCTACACAAACAGCATAAGGAAAATAACATGAGAATAATCTATGTATTGCATCAAAGTCTGAATATGCAGATGTGTACAGATGTGACGAAGTTTTAAAACCCACCACTTTGAAAAGAACTTTCTCTGAGTTCAAACCTACAAAGGTATTTGGCATCCACTTCTTTATTCCATATTTAAGAGGACACATTGCTTTTGATTTTAATGTAACATATTATTTTAAATAATACAACAATTACATTAACAAAAATATAGGGAGCCTTTACCCAATATACTGCAGCACAAGAATTTGATTTTGAGTTTCTTGGGTCATATAGTTTCTTGCCAGTTAGGAAAAGATGGCGACAGGAAATGACATTACCTCTCTCGCTATTTTTTGTGAAAGTTGAGCCTATTATTATTATTATTATTGAAAATTAAGTGAATAACAAAGTTTAAGGTAAAAACATGTTACACCGGGTGGCCAATAGGTCGACTAAGGAGCTGTTTTAGGACTTGAGGGCCATGAAGACGATGTACTGTTCATGTAGAAGCAATAAACATGGCTCAAAGTTCTGTTTGTAGTCGAGCTCCACAACTACCAGAACCACTCGACTTTAGCAAAACCCCAGAGTGGCAGAAATGGACAAGGAGGTTTGAGTGCTTTCAGCAAGCATGTCATCTCCATGCTTCTACACAGGAAACCCAGGTGAACACTTTGATGCACTGTATGGGGGATGAGGTGCACGATGTTCTGAAAGGACTAAATCTGACTCCAGTACAGGAAAGGTAGTACGACGCAGCAAGAGATGGACTTCATGCATTTTGTTTTTTCATTTTTTTGTGTGAAGAAAATCAATATGGTTTAATATGAGAAAGCAAGAAGAAAATGAAACTGGATATTTTTGTGGCTGCCTTGCACACTGTGAACACTGCAACTATGGACAATTGAGGAATGAACTAATTAGAGACAGACTGGTTGAGGGACTGGCTGATGTACACGTGTCTGAGAGGATGCAGCTTGACAAAGATCTCACCCTGAAAAAGGCAATGGAGATGGCCAGACAAAGGGAGGACATAAAATGACAGTGCCAAACTTACATGCTTCCTCTCAGATGCTCTCAGTGCTTTTGCACCATAAAATATCAGTGTTGAACCAGACAGACTGATCCAAAATCTGGTCCATGATGCCAACTGCAAGACATCAAAAAAATGAATAAGCGCAAAACAACTGCTCACTCTAATCAGAAAACACAACAGCGTAAACTACAGTGAAATGCAAGATGACCTTACCTTGGGTTTCCGTCCCTCCTTCAGTAGCGTTTTCCTTCGCAGGGGCCCTTCAATGATTACCCTGCCACCCTCGCTCAATCCGTAGTAGGGGTTGGCAGCAGAGGGGCTGAGGCAGAAGGGATATCAATGGGAACATACACACAAAATATTATAATAGAGAGATGTCACTGTGTGCAATTGACTCACAATATGAGGCATTATGAGGAGTATGCAAGTTTTATATTTCAACCAAACACATTCACTAATGAGTATAAAAGAAGAGCTTGTAGCTGTTCTTTAAATCACATCCTATGTTGATGTAATCCTAGTAAATATTAGTTACTGACAAAGCACACTGGATTTTGGGGTGGTGAATATTTTACTTATTCATGTGAAATGCTGAAGAGTGTAACAGCAGGACATTTATTTACAACTGCATGTTCATCAAAGTTATGAGTAGAAATCTACTCGATAACAGACTAATTTCTCCACTAGCTGTAGCCTCACTCAACCAGAATTCAGTGTAGTCACAAGATGTGAGCATATGACCCTAGTGCTCTTCTGATGTGACATTTGACCTCATGGTCATTCATAAAGCTTTTGTAAAATAAATGACAAAGTGGAACGAGCACACTGTGGCATGTTCTCAGTGTTTGACAATGACAGTGAATCATCATACAGAGACAGCATGCAACAGACCAACATTAACATTAGGGCTAGCTTTTCTTATAGTTAGAGGAATAAGACAGACACAAGACAAACCAAGTGCACTTCATCTTTAATGACTGTGATGGACTGAAGTGAAAGGCCAAAGAAAGGATCAGACCTAATGACCTGCTGTCATTAACTTTCACTGATAAAAATCTTAGAGCCTTAAGTAATTATAACAGAAAAAACAGCCTTTACCGTCACCAAATCTGCACAGAAAGTTCAAACCAACTCTGAGCTTTGTTGATCTTTGGCACAGGCTACAACCAAAAGTAAATTAGTAAACGATCTATGTAATTACAAATGATCACATCACATATTAAGACCAAACTAAAGGTAATTTGCTGGGTGAAATATTAGCCTTCAAATATAACTGCCAGGTTTGTTACACAAACCTTATGAGTCTCTGTAGTGAATATAATGACTCTAACAGTTATACTACTGCACAACAGGCTACACAACTCGAAAATCACTTGTAGTTAACATTGTTTGCTAATTGAATCCTGCACTGAAAAATTTAATTCTAGGAAAGATGACAAGTATTCCTCAAAATGTCAGAATACACCTGGGCAGTGGCACTATTTTTGGTATACACTACAAGTAGCATTGTAGTACTGAGCATCAAAAACTGTCAGCTAATAAAAACTGGCATCAAATGTCAGATCAGTCTTGTCATTGGCACTGGAACTCTACTACTGTATTAACACAACGATGTACAAATTTTAAAGAGCACCCAGGCTGCATCTCAAGTCTCTTAGAGGATCATTCCTCACTTCCTCCTTGCTCACCTAAAATGACTTTTGGCTCAAATGAAGATTGAGGGTGTCCCAAGGCACTTATTTCTGCTCTGAGGTTTGAGAAGCTAGCAGCAAACAAGCTGAAGGAGGAGCCATGAGCGACAATAAACAAGACTATCCTTAGCAGAAGTGTTTTTCTGATGATGATTGATGCCCCTATATCAGAAATCAGCTGCATCTTAGGTGGGTGGCCCTAAAACACAGGAAAAAGATGCAAGGGAAATACTGATGCATGTAAGAGATTTGGGATGCAGCTCCTGCCCTGCAGGTGTCTCAGATTTCTGCCAGCAGCCAAAGTACATGTAGCTAGTGAAGTTCCCTTTTTAAGTAAGCAGAATGTACACACCACAGCCAAATTAAATTCATAAAAGTGGAGTTAAAAATGACACCCAACTTTCCACAGCATGCAGTGAGGGGATGATGTGAGATTAAACACATTAAAGTGAGTCTGACTTCAATTCCCCAGTAAAGATGAATTCATTCTTATTTACAGTGATACTGATTTCTTGCTCTACCACTTCACTATACCTGTAAACATAGCTGCGGCTCTGGGGGGAGTTGCGAAGTGGGACTCTCCAGTTGGGGCCCAGTGTTGCGTACATGCGGCCCCTGTTTGTCACACATTGTCACAATCAGTCTGAGGGGCTCATGGGGTTGGTCTTTTGGCTAGCAGAAGTGTTCAGTGTATCTCATGTCAACAGTAGAAGTTAATGGAAACCAAATCCAATTCAAACTTTTTACATTTACAATCACAGACTGCTTTTAATCTACCACTCAGAAATATGAGTTTTGAGTTAAATGTTTTTGCTGGGACAAAGAGAAACCGCACAGTTAACTTGTATGATGTTATCAACATTCAAATACACTGATATCGTATGCATAATGAAAAAGCTGCAGGCACAGATACAAACTACTGACATAGAAGTACATTTCTAAGACAAATTCATATAAAGTTTAAACAAGAAATATAATAGTTCTCTATATTTTTCTAATTGTCAACAAATCTCATATGAAGAGCCAAGGTGCATATCCAAGAAGCTGCAGTGCAAACCAAAAGTTTGTAAATGCTGGCGTAAGCCCAGCTCTGCTGTTATATGACATTTTATATATAGATTTACTCTATGTGTATGTTATCTGGCTCTGTAACTGATATTGTCTCTAAACTGAGCTGTCTGGTTGGTATCTATTGTGAGGAAACATATACGTTCCTGCCAGAGACTGATGTTGATTTAAGTTATTGTGTCTGAGCACTGGGGTTATACCACAAGATCTAAAATTGACTACAGTAATAACAAAGCGGAGGATCCACATTGTTTTATTATAGATCAATTTCAATTTTACCATGTTTTTCCAAGATACTGAAAAAATTGTAGATAAAAGGGTTCTTTGTCATTTAAATTCATCATCAGTATGATTTTTGTAAAGGCCACTCTACATGCATGGATTTGCTCTATTTGATAGATAAAATAAAAGCAGCATTTGATATTAATGAATTTGTCTATGCACTATTTTTAGATCTGTCAGAACCATTTGACACATTTTATTATATTTTACTAGTTAATTTGGAGAAATATGGTTTTAACGGCATGGTACTGATGTCGTTAAAGGTTATATTGCTATATATACACAACAAAGTTATATATACATGCAGATAAACATAGTATTATATTTTGCATTATTCTTTAATTTATCCTTATTTGTCATGTTGCAATTTAATTTGAGGAAATATCCTACAACTCTCCATAAAAAAATTTTCCTTTTACAAAAATTGTAACCCACTACAAACTTTTACTCATCTTCTCCTTTGTTTAAAGAAACTCAACTTCTTGATATTAACAAATGTGCATTTTCCTTTATAACTTATTATTCAAGGAAGGAAATATTCCATAACACTTTAGGTCCTACTTTGAATTAAACTCCCAGATTCACCGTTATCCTACTAGGCAGTCAGTAAACCTTCATCTTCCAAAACATCTGATGACTAGAAGTCAATTTTCAATTAGATACAGGGGTCCACATTTATGGAACAGTTATTCTCACTGGGCTAAAGTGTTCTTGTCTTTTAAATTTTTTTGTGCAAACAAGAAAAAGGCTCTAATTTTTAATTTAGAATTAATAGATTCTTTTTTCTTTTTTAAAGCTTTAACTGTTGTTACTATTTGTTTTAGGGTATAGGTAAACTATAAACCCATTTTAGTCTTTTCTCCTCTCTCTGCACATTCATATTTGTTTGTTAATGGTTGATGTTTGATTATGTTTGTGCAAATAAATACATTCAATTTCATTTCAATGGGATTCAGTGTGTTGATGGATTTTTTTTCTGACCTCAACTTGTCTGTCCTTAAATAGTTAATTTACTTGAATGCTGCAGGCTTACTTTACTTTATTCAAACTAATTAAAACCTGTAAAGATGAAATGATAAGTGAGGATTGGCTTCACCTCTCCATTCCAAGTGACAGCTCCTCCCCAAAAGAACGTTCACTGCTGCCTATTAGGAAACAAAACAAAAACAAAGGCAGGTTAACTACTGAATCTTAAGTATCTGAGAAAAGCTTATTAGGCTAATTATGAATCAGTTAAAATAGGTTGATCGATCAGCATTTTAACTGTATTTGCAAAAAAAACCCCACAAACAACAAAGATGGTAACATACAGTATATACATACCTAATGACAGGCCATTAGACACTGATGTACTGTGTGGATCATTTCTGACAGGACTCTGAGACTCTAAGAAGCTGTCATCCAGCAGGTGTCGTGCTTTCTCTATGGGAAACGTGGCACTCCTGCTCTCCGACATGCCATATTGACACATCATACTGTGGGCAGATCCACCATTAGATGACAAAAATATGCTGATTAGTTTCCTTCAGCCACTAATGTCATGACAGATCTGAGAACATCCTCTACTGATTATGTATAGACACAGTGGTGTCCATTAAGGCAAGAAACACAAGCATTAAGGTTTTAAACCTCTGAAAGTATCTTTACTTATTTGGAAGTGACCTTTTTAATTGCCTACTGTATTTTAGAACTGCATTTAACCACCATCAACATTTTCATCCCTCTACATTAGGGATGATGGCAGGAAATATAGGAGTAACTGTAGAATGTAACTACTGTTAAGTATATTTACTCACACACTGTACTTTAGTACAGTTTTGAAGTGCTTTCACTTCAGTTTTCTGTCAATCCAGGACAGTTTGTACATGCTATCACAGTCCTGAGAAGAGGGCAACCATAACTGATAACACCTCCTCACAGCCATAGTTGACGAAAAACATGGTCGCTGCTTTGTGGAGTTTTAACATTATTAATGTTATTGGAGAACCTATGGTTAACTTGTCCCACTTGGATATGTTTGGTGTATTAGCTATATTTTATGAACAGTGTTAATGCATGCTCTTCTATAACTGCATCTTATAACTTGGTGAGGCATTACCTATGGGTTTGGTTTATGATGTTAGCATTTTGCTAACATGTAACTGCAGCTTTTAACCACAATCAACTTTATCATATTTTACCAATTGTCATGTTGCTTCTTGCTGCTCTGTGTGCAGCAAAAAAAAAAAAAAGATTCTACTCATGCTTAGCTGTGATTGGTTGCTTTGTCACTTACATGGCCAGATGTACCAAACAGTGGGTAGTGTTGCTGTATAGGTTTATGGATGTTTTGCTGTTTTCTGCTGCTCTGCATGGTACATGCCACGAGCATACTCATTATGTTGGCATTTTGGTCTTTATGGTGTCTCGTTGCTCTCTAATTTCTAACCAGCACTTTTCTGAGCATCTTGTTAAAGGACTGCAAATGAAAATTAGCCAGCTAGCCAACATGAACATCAGTACTACATAGAATATAATGCAGACTTCACATCTGATATTTAAAGCACATTTTTCTGATAACACTTACAGACTTTTACTAACAGTAAGCAATGTTCTGAGTGTAGTGTTTTTAACAGCAACAAATTTGGGGGGCTTACCAAGTTTACCAGTGTTGTAGTTTGAACAGCTGCCACTAAATGCCTCATAACCTACTGAACACTGAAACTTATTGCAAAACCTTTGTTTGCATGTTGGCCTTTTACACAGATTTGGATAAATTGCATATTTTGTTTGAATAAAATCTTGAATCTACTGTAACTTTGAGAATGCCCTTGTTGAACTCACTTGTTTCCCAAACTATAGCTCTTCCTGTGGTGGGAGGGAGGGGGGGTGGGGATGCGGACCCCGACAGAGGCATCAGGACAGGTAGGCCGTCGGTTATACCTCATAGAGGCCGATACCTCTGACAGACCTGAAACAGAAAACAGGTCATCAATGCTAATCACTGCATTACTTCTATTCCATTTTAGTGTGTATATGTAATAACATCTTTTTTAACATAGCGCTCGCCCTCGTCAGTTGCACTTAAAACTTTTTAATATGCTGTACAGTATGTGCTAAGAAAGTAACAGATAACAAGGGCTTAATTTCCACTCAAGATGGGGGAACATCACTTTTCAAAATCCTCTTTTTGTCCAAACACCACAATGAAATGAGAGAAGAAAGGAGTTAATAAAATTAACTAAAATTATTTTGTCACAGGACCCCTCTACAAGACAGGGCTACATTGTCATGGAATACTACAGCATCCATATTGGATAATATTATACATTAGTCATACAAATTCTCCCCCAGAATTAGAAATAATCACACTGCCTCTCTCTGCAAATACCTGCCTTGCCTTTTTGGTAATCTGGGCTTTTTCAGTGCAAGATATTCCATGACATGGAGAAAATACAGCAGATTTCTTTAAAATGTATATATCTGCTCTACCTTGGATATGCTTAGAATCAAATCCACTAGATGTAGCCACTGAGGCACAGAATGGGCCTCTGCACAAAACCATTTACCATACATCATGAACCAATGCCTTTACCGAATCTAGTGACTCGATCTACATATGTTTTAGAGGGTCTTGGTGTGATTAATAGGTCTGCCTATGTAATCCTACCATCAGTCCAGCCACAGCTTTGCCTTGTGTCAGGACTGTGTTGTGTTGGCTCAGTGAATTGATGCAGTGTTGCCATGTGCCAGTGGAACATCTGAATCACTCTGTTCCTTCTCACTGGAAACACACCATTCAATCAACTACATGTGACCAGTTTGGACCAAGCTGGACTGTCTGGTTTCACCATATTCATACAGTAACACATCAGACTTGTATGCTGTTATTACGTGGTAATAAATACTATGAGCCTTAAGAGCCTTGTGAAAAGTCAGGACTGCTGCAGTGAAAAATTGTTTACTCATCTATAAAGGAGCAATAATGTGGCAAAATAATGCAAATTAGGACATGTATGTAAAATATGCAAAGTACATAATATAAAATATGCAAACGTTATCCTTCCTTTCTTATTTAGTGATTAATCCACTAAACTCATTCCACTAATTATGTTAAGGTTTAAAATCTCCAAACGTTTTAATAATTTTTTTAAGTAAGAGCTGTAAAG